AGTACAGCAAACATGAATGTTGAAATCACCCAGCAGTAATATTTTGTCATGCCTGATAACTAGATCGCCCATTAGTGCAGCAAGCTCACTTAAAAAGTCCTTATTTTGCAGAGGAGGACGATAAATTAGAGCTATGGAAATGGGGTTTACTAAGACTAATTGTAGCAGTTGTACCTCAAAACTGTGGTAAGAGCCAGTAGAAAGAGGTCTACAGTGAAGTGAGTTTTTAAAAACAGTGGCGAGACCTCCGCCGCGGCCAGACAAGCGCGGGGAGTTTAAGAAATGACAGCCGCGAGGCACCAGTTCCGAAAACGGAGATAACTCGCCAGGCTTTGTCCAAGTCTCGGTGACACACAAGAAATCCAGCGTTTGAGAGGTAAAAAAGTCATTTAAGATGAAGGTTTTATTTACCAAAGACCGGGCGTTGATGAGTGCAAACTTCAGTCGCGATGAAGCAGTCACTGGCTGTGTTTCTCGGCACAGCGAGCGAAGATTGTAAAGATTAGCTCCACCACGACGACGGTGACTGTAAATCCGAGCAGGTGCAGAGAGGAATCCGGGTATGATAGGGCGCAGCCATCGAGGGGGGCCATCCAGAGAAGACTGGCCGGCGGAGGAATTGTAAGCAAACTCCGATCCCTGTCGGAGCAAGGCGAGGTGCGGATCGTAATTCCATAGAAGGGCCGATCTGAGTCGTACAGCGATGCCACCGCGCTTGCCACGCCTTCTCCGGCGTCTCCGGCGCGGTAGATCGGCTTGGAGCTGGCACGGGTATGCAGGAAGGAGGGATGGACAGGGTGGAAGCTCGAAACACGGTCCACAGACATCACACCTGACGTTAGGCAAGGTGGAAAGCGTGCTACGGATGTTTAGAAGTAGTAAACGGTCATAGACCAATATAGCATTGCAATATAAAACTAAATGGGGCATATATAAAAACATAGTAAGTGCAAGAGATAGTAACAGGGCAGACTGCAGACGGCATGCCAACAACATCGGCGCCATCTTCAATTATTTAGTTTTCCTATTTAATGACCGACAATTTAGTTGTAGGCCTAATAATAATTTTGGCATAAGGCTTATTAGCGTTAGGCTATCGCCTGAAAGGTCTGATTTAGCCTGTGGACTGTTACAACAGTAACAAATTTTTTTTTCACAATGACATTTGAGTTCATGATTTTAATGGGTTTTTTTTCGGGGGGGGGGGGGGGGGTTGTGGCAGACTAAAGACTAATGACAGACTGTTGATCTTTGAATAAAAATATATGTTTGGTTCAGGTTTGAACCAAAACAAATTTTGAACCAAAACCTGACATATTGAACCAAAACCATCAAACCATAGTCTATAAGGTGTATGTTATTATGATTGACAATAAATAACATTACAATGAATTTAGGTTAATTATTGTGGTCAGTTAGCATATAGCAATGGTTAATAATTAATAATTATAGTAATTCTTTGTGTTATCTATAATCATGCCAGCAACAACATGTCACTGTCCCCAATAACAAATAGATGTATAATTATCGGGCATGTTGTCTGAAATGCAAAAGCAAAATTTTAAACTATTATGAATTACAAAATCATTTGTAAAACATGTATAGTTGACTCTTGCCAAAGTGATTTTATTTTGTTCTCTTGTTATTCAATAGCCATTACTAAAATATGATAGTGGATTTTTTTTCTATATCAAACACACACACACACACACACACACACACACACACACACACACACACACACGTAGGTTAATTAGATATATTGTATATTGACCTACATCTTGGAGCTAATTTGTTAGAATTATATTTCACATTGATTCAATCTGAGCCCAATTTGCTCATCCTTTCCAACAGATGCTTTTCTCAAAACTTCAGTGCAATTTTGCATCTTCCTTCATCTAATGTTAAGCTAACTGTCTTTAGGTGGCCAATTTGACTATATTTCTTTTTATATACGTTTAATTGGCTTATTGAATATATCGAATCATGGAGAGTCCACAGGAAAGTACAGGAAGAGAGAAAACTTGAACCCGGTCCTCATGACAAAACCACGCACTACCCTGTACCCTCTGTGCCACAAGAGGGCGTTTCATCATTTCATTCCTTTTTTAGCAGATACTGTTATTAATCTAACCACAACACTGTGATGATATTGATTTTGTGCTTTGGGAGAGCATGGCCCTTGAACCGTGCCCTTTTAAAATGCTCAATATAATAAAAAATATTTGTATTGCAAATATGCTCATTTTGGACTTTCTTTTGAGTTGTTAAATCTGTTACTGGCTAAATGTGTCTTTGATTGTTTATAAATCTAGGATTTAAAAGAATCCTAGATTGGTTAAGCCTTGTTTAAGCCTTGTTTATACTCGATGCGTCCGCAAGAGCGCAAAGGTGCGCGCGGCAAAAATGACGTAATTGCGGTGTGGGCGGTCGTGCGCGTTGGATGCGCAAGACCCCATATTATGGAGCGAATTATGTGCCAAAACCTCACACACACACAAAACGTGTTTTACTCACACCCAATGATTCACAAACAAACTCAATGTGGTTTGTAAATACAAAACATCACTCAAAAACTAATGCATATTGTTCCGCAAATAAAAAACGTATCTATCAAACAAATACAGTATGTTTTACATAGAAACGTATTTCTTCAATGACAAAAATATCATCCAAGTACAAACTAAAATCTTTCAAGTACAAAACAAAATTCTACAAGTACGAAACAAAAACCTTCATGTACAAAACAAGATTCTACAAGTACAAAACAAAAACCTTCAAGTACAAAGCAAAATTCTACAAGTACAAAACAAAATTCTACAAGTACAAAACAAAATTCTACAAGTACAAAACAAAATTCTACAAGTACGAAAAACTGTCACGTGACTTTTGACACTATTTTTCCGCGTCCAGGCAGATTTTCTCACAAATGCAGTTGAGCAACTTCCTCTTCTAGAACAGTAGATGGCGCTAAGATAGGGGATAAATTTCGCGCTAGTCTCTCGGGAGAAACACTGATGTGAAACGCGTGCTTGCCTTTGCCCATGGGAAAATGAGAGGTGAACAGGTGTGTTTCTGTCTTACTTTATCTATAATTTACCTTATTGAGGTTTTGGTAAATGTTTATTATATAGACAGAAATCCACATTAGCACTTAGTAGCACTCCACGCTAGGATAAGGGAATCTATAAACTGAAAGGTCTGCCATCATGTTGCTTTTTACATTTTTGTAAAAACGTTTCATTTACTGAATGAGTCTATTTCTTTCGTTCTCCATAAATTAATGAGAACATTTGGGGATACAATATACAATTGTTTCTTAACTTCCCTGTGACGTATTGCCCAAAACCCAAATTATTATTTTGGACAGACAAATGAAACCCTCCTTTCAATTAAATTAAATGTTCTCATTAATTTATGGAGAACGAAAGAAATAGATTCGTTCAGTGTAGGCTACATAATCACTAATTTAGTCATTTCACACGCGTCTTATGTAGATTTTTTTTTTTTTAAGCAACATATGATAGAGCTTTCAGCTTAGATTCCCCTATCCTAGAGAGAGTGAAGTGCTACTAGCGGTAATATGGATTTTTTATTAGATGTAATAAACATTTTGCAAAAGAAAACCTCAATAAGGTTAATTAGATAAAGTAAGACAGAAACACACTTGTTCACCGCTCATTTTCCTCAGCTGTAGGCAGTGTTCTATTTCGTTACAGAATACATGCCAAAAAATGTAATTTGTAACGTATTGTAAAAAATGTAATTTGTAACGGCAAACTACTTCTTCACTGCTGATTCCTGGTGGTTTAGAAGAGAATTACTCCGAGTCGCCCCCTGATCGTTTCACAGAATAGCACAACGGCGAGCGCGTCAAGTATAAACGGCACGCCTCGGCCGTTTGGAGAGGTGCGCGCGCAGTCAGCGGAGACTCGCGCTCTTGCGGACGCGTCGAAACAAGGCTTTATGCAGTGGTATATGTTATATATGCATTATGAATTCCTCTGCCTGGAAAAAAAAAAAATCCATATGCTGGTTTACTGGTTTCCCAAACTTGTGTATTGGCTGGTTTTTGAGGAGTTCTGGCAACATTTCAGTCGTTGCACATTGATTGCTGCTGCCAAAGATACTGTTTCCCTGCCTGTCTACCTTTGTAACTATCTTGCTTTCTGCTTCCACACCCCTATAAACTGTCTTATACTGTAACAGCTGTGGCTTTCTCTTTGGTGACGGGGAAGCAAACACAGACACGCATTATTAATGCAGGGAATGAATTTTATTGTCAAAATATAGATGTTTATTCACATCCAAACAAATAATGTATTTGACAAACATCCAAGGGAAGTTCAATTAATAAAGAGATTTTGATTTCCCTCAGAGGCACCGCATACTGTGTGGAGTTCAAATTCATTTTGATCCTCCTGTTTTAAAATCTGGGAAATTACTGTTAGCTTCATTTTATGTCAATTATTCCTGGAAACTGATGCATAGATGTAACCACTGGCAAATTAGACTTCACAAAGTGAGAGGTGTGGATGTTAAAAAAGAACTGCTTCACCAATATAACTTTCAATTTACTATCAACTGATTTTTTTTGAGGGGAGAATAGTAGAAATTCCAATTGCAGAAAATAATTTGACACAATAGATCATGAATTGTCTTTAGTGAAAATCCCTGAGATAACATTAGGGATCCCTGTAAATGAAGTTAATAATAATATTTCACATTCATTGTTTGTTGAATTGAATGACTTGCATGCCAATTGCATATTGTAAGAAAATCCATCAACTTGTAAGAAAAAAATTCTCCCATTAATCGGTGTAACTTCTAAATCAAACCATATTTATGATCGACATAAATTACAAATCTTTAAAACAATTTAAATATATAAACATCAGTGACTGGACATGTTGAATCCTAATTGCATTATTCATGTAATAACATTCAATTTGTTAATTGCCTGACTTCATAAGCCAATGCACACAGTAAATTATTTTGTTGTATTCGATACAGGTTTGAGGGCAGTTTTTGAAGAGTCCAGTCGTCCAATATTACCAGCTGTTCAACAGAAAAAGAACAAGTTTATTGTGGATTTATGAGGATGGGAAAAGGACTGGTAGCCCAATGTGTGTAATGAAGATACGTGTGACCGTAACTTACTGTCTGAAGGACATCCATTATCTTCTTCCTCGATAGAGAACTGAGAGTAAAGAAAGGCTTCAGTTAATAAATGTCAAATATTTCATTTCCTGGATTTTGAGCAATAGAGCATTTGATACTTCATATGGACTTGTTTGCCTTTTTTTTATTATATGATTTGAGCAATTTATTCAGTTTCATAAGATGTTCTCATTCTTACCCATTCCGACATTGCTGCCCACACACGAAACTGTAAGACAAGTCATGCATTTTTATATCAATTCCAGTTATGTAATGTTCAATATCAGCGCAATATTGCCATGCAACACTTAAAAATGTCTGAATGTCCTTGCATTAGATACTGCTATTTAATGCTACACAATAGCAAATGAATTGACATTTATTTCAAAGAAAGATTCACACTTCGTGATTCACGTTCAGTGGTTCCTCTGCTAGAACGTGTGTGAACTTTAAGGGGAAACTGACTTCATACATCCAATAAAAATCACCTTTTGGTTTGATCCAGATGACAACTGGTTTGATGTTTTGGTAACACTTTATTTTACAGTGTCCTTGTCACACACGTTACATGTAGTTATATAGTTATAATAGTAAACTTTGCATAATTAAATGCAACTAAGACTAAACCAAACCCTATAGTAAGTACATGTTGTTAATTAATATTACTCAGTACTTAAATGTATAATTAACACCTTAAAATAAAAAGTGGGTTACATTTTATTTTAAGGTGTCATTGTTACAGTGTAATTATATATTTAAGTACTGAGTAATAATATTAAAGGACAACTCCGGCGCAAAATGAACCTCGGGTGTAATAACACATTGGTACAGACTAAATCGTTCCCTGAGATTTGTTTTCATGATAATCGAATATAAAGAGTTTTATCTCTAAAAACAGTTTAGCTTATAACACTAGTATATTGGGCATCGAGTAAGCAAACAGAGATCGCTAGTTAATACCATTAACAAGGCTCAAATTAGCCCCACACTAACACGGCAGCATAATGAGTGTCCTTACATGCAAACCGAAGCATTGAGAACTTTGTAAGTGTATAGACAGTTTAATAAGAAGATACTTTACACAGACAGTACAGTTAGCGCATACAGACAGCAGCCATCTTGGAAAACAGTCTCGATCAATAGAACCACGAAGGTGAGCGAACAGTACGTGTAGATATTGAAGATAAGATAAATTATATTTATTTTTTTATTTTCTCTGTTGCGTTCAGTGCTTCTCTTATGCGCTCAGTGCTTTCTTCCGGAAACAACGGACCATATGAGATTCCAAGTCACAGTTCAGCTCACGTATCACCGTGTTCGCGGTTTGACTGATCGAGACTGTTTTCCAAGATGGCTGCTGTCTGTATGCGCTAATTGTACTGTCTGTGTAAAGTATCTTCTTATTAAACTGTCTATACACTTACAAAGTTCTCAATGCTTCGGTTTGCATGTAAGGACACTCATTATGCTGCCGTGTTAGTGTGGGGCTAATTTGAGCCTTGTTAATGGTATTAACTAGCGATCTCTTTTTGCTTACTCGATGCCCAATATACTAGCGTTATAAGCTAAACTGTTTTTAGAGATAAAACTCTTTACATTCGATTATCATGAAAACAAATCTCAGGGAACGATTTAGTCTGTACCAATGTGTTATTACACCCGAGGTTCATTTTGCACCGGAGTTGTCCTTTAAGCAACTACATGTACTTTATAGGGTTAGGGTAGGATTTGGTTGAGGGTTAGTTGCATGTAATTATGCATAATTTACTGTTATTACTAATGCAACATATGTAACAAGGACACAGTAAAATTAAGTGTTACCAAAAAGTGTTACTGATATTTTATCTATGCAATGAAAATATATCTATTTTTAAGTGTGTCTAAATATTTTTTTGGGCACCTGTACTCAAGAACCTCATTACCTGAATACATCCTGCTGTTGCAGAACGGGACCTTGGCTCCGTCTCGATTCAGCGGGGCGACGACCACCGAGTACACCTGCCCGCACACGATCTCCGACACATCGCAGGTGCTGCTGCCGGGCGCCGGGCTGCACACGTGCGTGCTGTCGCTTCCCGTGACTTCTGCCGTGTAGCTGGTGAGGGCGCTGCTCGACCTCCAGCGCACACGCAAAGTGTTATTGGTTCCTCTGAAGAGACGGATGCCCGAGGGACAGCACTCACCTTGAGAGAGACGAGAACGTTAGATTCAACATGTGATATTATTGCTGTAACCTTTACACACGTTACCCGGCATAAATTACTACAGCAATGACCAAATAGCTACTTGGCTACATTATTTTCCCCATTTTCGTGGCCTAGAGGACGTCAGCTGATAATGAAACTTGTTTCTAAGACAAAATATTGTAGATTAATTTTGATTTAGAAAGTGTTGTAGTAGCCTATACATGTGTATAATAAGTAAGTGTTAGAAGTTTTATAGTAATTAAATATAGTAAATAGCATCCTAGACTATGACTATCTTAACGAGAGAGAGAATAATTTCTGTAGTGTAAAATTATTTTGGGTTTTTGTATATTTTTTCTATATTTTCTATATATTGCTTTCTCTTGCTGTTACAGTAATGTGTATTTATGCACATACAAATCCATTTGATGCATATTGTATATGTTACATATATGCATATTGTATTGGGTTGTATATGTACTTTACACAGACAGAAAAGCATTTATTTGACAGAATTCCTGAATCGTCAGTAAGCTGATCTGTCTAGATAGCGAGGTAAATGTTTATGTTGTTGCCAACAAATGGGACGCTAAATTGTATTCACATTCAGTTGGATATTGACTAAATATCTACTATACATTTTGGCTTTAATAAGATTTCCCTATAAATCGACAAGAATGAACTACATCAAATTCGTAATTACGACTTCAGAAGTGGGAAGTAGGACATTTCCGATAGCACACGAAGGCAGCTTAAGAATCACTCCAGACGGTTACGGAAGCAATTCTATGTTTTATATTGTTGCTGTCTGATGAAAACCCCAAATGTCCATTTTTACTACAGATGTAACAGTTCACATGTGTAATGATAGAATTTATAGTGCAAAATGTGGCCAATTATGTTATTTTCATTTCATTTTGGAGACACTTTTCATTGGACAGCAACAATATGAATTTGTGGTTTTTCTACCACTATTAATGGCAAGTTATTGAGAACACACTGGCAGAAAACCCATGATAGGTGCACTCCGCCTTGTGCCCGGTGCGACTGATCGCTTCCAGGGAGACGGTGTAGTTAGTGCCGCAGGTGATGCATCCCATCACGCATCCTGTTTCCATGGTGTGACACTGCGCATTGCCTCGTGGTGAAGACAGGGAGGCGATGAAGGTCTGGGCGCCGATAGCGTCCGACCAGGTCACGTTGGTCATGGCCTGAGTCACCTGGCTCACCGTGAGATTGTCTGGGCAACAAGGTGCTGGAAAAAAAATATAAGTAAAATTATATTTGTAGACTTTCAAATTAAAACGACGTGTGTTTCAGAACCCCAAAACAGCACTCTAGCTGAAATGGGGAAATGCTCTACATAGGCAAAAACTCAAAGCACACAAGCGACTCTCCTCAAATTTGATTTCAATAGTTTTCTGTTAGCATGTTGCTAAGCTAATGCCACCATAACATAAAAATATACAGCACATACTGTACAAATATTGGTTTAAATAGACCATTTTTAAGAGTATTATTGAATCATTCTTTTTGGAGAAAATGTATTTATATACTCTTAAAACTTATTTTCTTAAATTATCTTGTGTATTTTGTAGTTTAGCTGCCTGTGTAGGTTTTGGAACTTTTCTTTTTTGACACAATTGGCCTGTTGGCTCTCTGAATGGCCATGGAAAGCTAACCTGTTTCCAGGGGAACGGTGTAGCTGGGCATGCTGTTTCCAGCTGAGGAGGACGCGGTGGCACTGACTTCATAGACGGAGCCGCAGGGCAGGTTGGGCACCTGACAGGAAGTGCCGTTTGAGTGACAGACATGCATGTCGCCCACTGTGCCAATCACACTGACTGTGTAGTTGGCAGCTGTGTTAGCAGAAGTCCAGTTAACCAGCACACTAGACAAGTTACTCTGGCTCACACCGATGATCTCAGGCATGCATGGAGCTTTGAAAGAGAAAGTGTGCGTATATTATACACCTGTGGCACATATTCATGATCTAAATTCAAATTGAGTGTGTGAGTATACCTGTTTCGTGCGTTTGTGAACTGCAGGTGAGGTTACAGCCGCTTACGTCGTTGCATGGGATGACAACTACACTGTACCTGCTGTTGCAAGTGAGGTCAGAGAGGGCGCACCTGGGCGCCGTGTCGTTACACAGAACCGTTTCTGTTGCATCCACAGCACGAGTCTCATACAGATCCGCACCACGCACAGGAGACCACTGTATCATCAGCGTCTCCCAAGAAACTGCAGAAACTGTAGTGAGCTCTGGACAGCAAGGCACTGTGGAAAGTAAGAGAAGATAAAGCAGGTTAAAATGAATTTATGCAGTCATCGCAATCTAATGGAGAAAACCATGCAGTTTTAGGGTTACGGGCAAAATGTGGCGCATATCTATATATTACATTTCTGTAATTATGTCAAAATTATGTCACCGTGGGTCAGGACCAAAAACAGCATTTAAGGAGGGGTGTACAGACAATTGATGTGTTTATAGACTCTTGAGTTTTCTTCCATGTGTTGATGTTGTTGCAATTGAAAGGGTAAGTCTGGATAGGATATATTGAAGGGTTTGTCCTTTTGTTTAAATAGACTAAATACTTTAGTTTACATTACAGCCATGACCATGGGTGCCTCTCTATACTCAAATTGATGCTTCCTCGTTTGCTCGCTCCTCCGTCCTCCAGCCCGTGAAAACAATTGAACTCAGCCATCTTGAAGGGCATCTCAATTCTCTAATTGCACCCCGAGGAGGCGAGGAAGCTTCCTGAGGAGTCATGAGCGAGGACACACAGGTGTATCCTTCCCTCGCATCCTAAGGGGGTGGAGCAAAGACACGAGGAAAGGAAACGAGGATGCACAAATAAGAAATGAGAAGCACCCCATGATTTGCTACTCGCTATTGCTTGTACGGGGAAGATCATTCTAGAGAGCATTTGATTGGACAAATTAGGCTGTGAGTACAACATGATGTCATCAATCTTTTGGGCTTGTTTTCCCAAAGAAAGGTATGTTCATTTTATATTTGTTAAAGTGCTTTCTGCATATAATAACATGAAGCTCTCACAGGTGGTGTGGTTGACGAGAGGTCCCGGGGGACTGGGTCCAGCCTGGTTGTGTGCAAACACACTCATGATGTAGGAGTATCCGCAGCTGCAGTGAAACTGACAGCGAGGCTCAGTTGAGTTGCACGTCCCCTCGATGCCATCATCACTCTTAATAAAGGTAGTGTAGTACTCTGCATGAGGGACTGAGCTCCACTTCACAGAGCAGTTTCCAGCCACCACCTCCTCCACCCAGATAGGCTGTGGGGGACAAGGGACTGACGAACAACAGGATAGACAATTAGAGGCATTGCAAAGGGGAAGATTTTCATTGATAATGGCTTAAATTTCACTCAGCTGCTCACACAAAGTTAATGATTCTTCATAAGACTTGGAATATAGCACTTCGGACATAATGACTAAATGGCATAGTTTAGGATTGACTAACCTCTTTGCATGTGAATTAAGTAACAGAGCCAATGAATATAGCTGGAAATTCAGTAGGCGTCTTTAATATGTAGCCTACTGTAAATGTAGTTGGTCATATGTTTACATGCTAATGTTTTTGAATGTGCTGTTTAGTTTAGTTTCAGTAAACAGTCTGGGTGGACTGATGAGGGAGCTTTGTGTTGTCAACATTACAGCATATCTTAATAAAGGCATGTCCAATCCTGCTCCTGGAGACTTTAGCCATAATTAAACACACCTGAACCAGCTAATCATGATCTTAAGGATCACTGAAAACGTTATGGCAGTTGTGTTAGAGTTAAACTCTGCTGGAAGGTGGCCCTTCAGCAGAAGGATCGGAAAACCCTGACAATATTAAGCACATCACACTGAGCAAGTCCTGTTATCCAAGCATGAATTGTTTTACTCACATGAAATAATCTGAACTGGGTAAGAGGGGGCACTGTTTCCGCCCTTGTTGACAGCGATCACTGTGACAGAGTTGGTCTCTCCACAGCTCAAAGGAGTCAGGATGCAGGAGTTACTAGATGAGGAGCAGTTCTGGCCAGTCAAGCTCACGGCGACATACTGCTCTGCACCCTGGGCTGGGTCCCACGACACCACAATACCTGCATCAGGGGTGCTTGTCACCACCAGAGAAATAGACTGAGGAGTGGGAGAACCTGCGGAGACACACAAACAAAGTTTAATGTTCCTTAACTACAGCAGATTTTTTGGTAACACTTTATTTCGACAGTCCCCTTTAGACCAACTATAAGTAACTTTGAAGCTACATCTCAACTAACTGTCATTAGAGGATTAGTAGACTGTCTGTTTAATATCTGCCAACACTTTATTTTGTTGGTCCCCCAACAGACATTCTACTGACTATAAGTTACTTGGCAACTTATTCTCCCAACCCGAACCCTAACACCTAACCATAACCTAACAGTCTATTGACAGTCTACTACAGCCTACTAATACTCTAATGAGAGTTAGTTGACATTTAAAGTTACTTATAGTTAGTAGAATGTCTAAAGTGGACTATTTGGTAATCAATGAACATTTCCAATCCTGCACAGTGTAGCTTCAACCCTATTAAACACACCTGGATCAGCTAATCAAGGCCTTCCATGCAGGTGTGATATAACAGGTTGGAGCTAAACTCTGCAGGACGTCGGTTATTCATGAGTCCTGAAAAGCCCTGCCTAATATGCTGTACTTGGTGTGCATTCATTGCTGGTTGCTCTGTTATTGACCCCTTTCTCTTCCTCAAGTGTGATTTAGAGGTATGACATTTTTTACATTAAGTAATCTCTCTTTCCATTCCTATCCTCTTACGTGTGATCTGGCAAATTGTGAAGTCATCTCCGGGAATGTTCTCGGGACTCCAGGCGTTTCCCTTAATACAATAAAGGGTTCCTGCCTCCAGGTCTTGAAACAGAACCTGAGCGTCTGTGGTGTTGAGGCGACTTCGGCTGTATGAGCCGTCTTTGATGATGCTGAGGCTGTAGAGGACAGCATGATTGACTGGCTCCCACTTCACCAGGATGCTGCTGTTACTGGGAGAGCTGGTGTTGAACTGAGGAGTAGGAAGGACTGGGGTTCAACAGAACGAGGAAGAGAGAGAAACAATAATGGTAAGAAATCAGACAGACAGCTGCATTGTGACCAAAAGTTTTTTTTTTCTCTCAAGATTGAACCCCGAGCTAAGTGATCTAATTCTGAGGTATAGGTTCATTTTGTTTAAGTGAAATGGACATGAGAGACAACTGACAGGTGTCAGATGGTGTAAAGTAATCCGAGCAGTACCTTTTCACTCCTGTCCTTTCCTACTTGCCCTTTCTCTTCCCCTCCACTCTTTCCTTTCTTGTCCTGTCCTGCCCTCATCCTGGCATGTCATGTTCGTCCCATTCCTTTCTGTTCCTTTCACTCCTTTTTGTTTCCTTCTGTAATTTTTCATTCCCTTACGTTCTCTGGCATGTCCTGTCTGTGCCTGTCCCGTTCCTTTCTGTTCCCTTCAGGTCCCCTCTGTTCTCATCCATTACCTTCGGTCCCTCTGTTCACTTCCCTGTCCAGTCTTTTCCTTTCCTGTCCTGGCCTTCCCCTGGAATTTTCTGACTGTCCCTCAACTGTTCCTTTCTAATCCCTCCCTTTCCCCATTCTTTTCAATCAAAACTAGGCATGGGTTCTACCCTTACCACTTCCTGGTGTGTTCTAACTAAAACAGTTCTCACAATGCTTAAAATGTTTGAAGAAAACATCCCATTGTGCTGTTAGGGATCATATGCATGACGTAATTCTGTGGATATTTGTAATTGATATGATTTCTGTTCTGGGAATTAAGGTCTTTCCCCTTATTATTTTCTTGTGGCCATCTCAGGTGGAAAACGTGCTACCTGAACAATGAAACAAAACTGCTGAGGGCGCTTAGGTGAAGACACGGAATACATTTTCTGTGCCCAGTCCCTTGAGGAGGGCAGCCCTTTTGTTATAGTTCAGCTTCTCATACCTGGATAGGGATACATGCGTGAGAAACCTATTTAATTGAAAATGTGAACATAACCAATGCATACTGCTAAAAATCAAGCCCATGAGATCAGCTATGTAGCTTATCCTGATGTTTTTCCCCCCCAATGAGAGGATAAGGTTTCTGCACTGGGTGAGGGTTAGAGAATAGCCAACTCTGTCCCTTCATGAATGGATCATTTCTTTGGCCTCTAGGTCAAAGAGGGTGGAGAGAGAGGAGAAAAATATACCTGTCTTTGCCTCCACGGAGATGGATGGCTGGCTTCTGCCTGCACTGTTGACAGACATGACACTGAGAGTGTAGTCTGTGTATGGCTGGAGGTTGGTGACAGTCCCCGGAGACGTGGGTACTGGGATCTCTGAGAAGAAAGATCCATCGTTTGTCTCAGCCCGCAGGATGTAGGAAGTTGCACCGGAGACCTCAGTGAATTCCACAGTGATACTCTGGCTTTCTTTAGAGGAGGCCATCTCAATGCTGGGCACATCGGGAGCTAAACATAAGAAGAGATATTGCACAGTTCCATTCATTTAACACATCATCAGTTTACTGTAATTAACAATGCTTTTAGTAGGAGCCAAACTGATTTAGAAATGTTAAGCTGCAACAATGTCAGTTTATCAAACAGGACGCTAAGCCTGAAATATGGTTTTATGACCTGGAATTATGAGGGAATTTCCAGGCAAAGAAAAGAAATTTGAAATGTATTACAATTTTGAAATCGCTTAAAGTTTTTCACACTGAATACTCTTGAGCAAGACAACACCAGTTTTCAGTATACGCACCAGTAGATCTATCCACACTAGCGTCTGCAAGCATGTTCATGAGGCTGCCCAGGGCCTCGACACGAAAGGTGTATGCAGTGTTGGGATTCAGGGAATTAACGGAGCCCATAATAGTGTTCTGTCCAAAGCTGGCAAAGACCACGGGGACTGGAGAGTTCCTGAGGGAAGCTGTTACTCTGTAGGACAATGCACCTTCATACCTGCTCCAGCGCAGCACTGCACTCTTTGATGTCACCGTAAAAACACTCACGCTCATTGTGCTGCCTGAAAATAAATACAAGAAACGTATCTTTCTGAGGTATTCATCAATGATGTTGATTTAATACAAATGACAACCAAGAACAGTGTATTAATGAGTTTGAATTTAAACAGATACTGTAAATTGGATCCAGAAGAGCAGTACCTGATGCCTGTAAATGAAACAATTCAAAATTACTTTTGTTAGATTGAAACATTCGTTTATAAGTAAACAATTGTATGCATTGTCCCTATTATTAGATTTTGAATTCTAAGCGTTTTTCGTAACTGAATAATGATTCAAATAGAAAGTTAAAATATGACTGTATGACAGAATCATGGAAAACATGTTTATAAACACACACACACACACATATAAATATACATATATATAATTTATTTTATTAAGTAGTACTATTTACCTTATTCCTACATCATTCTATACTACATACGGAACTGTTCGTACATGAATAAAGGGTAAAAATAAATAAATAAATAAACAAAATGTGACTAATGACACTGTACCTGTGAGAATACTCCAAGCAAAAACACCAGTCCCTTGATTGCTCCAAGACCTGCCATCTGTTTTCTCTGTTTGAAATCCGGTTTTCTCTCTTTTTTGTAAAAAAAAAAATAGACTTAACTCTGCACTCTTTTCTGTTTCTTGTGTTTTGGCTGAATGTACATGGAGCTTTTCTTGAAGGCATCTCAGATACTTTAACCTAGCCCCGCCTCCTCAGAAGAGCTGGCCAATAAGAGCTTGGGATGAGAATGAGCTAGCCAATCAGAAGTGGAGATGTGAAATGCATGCAAACAGGTGTAACAGAAGACTGGGTGAAGAAGTCTATGCAAGTGCAGTTTATTCAAGTTTGTGCAGTTTAGTTGCTAATTATGTAAAAATCATTTATTATAAAGTGTTGCATATGCTGTCCCTGCAATTTAAAAAAAAAAAAAAATTAAAGTAAATAAAGAAATGAGACTGAATTTTCTTTGTGTAATTTTGAGATGGTACATTTTGGGCATTTAGTTTATATGTATAATTATAAAGGCTTTGGGACCCAGGAATCTTTTTTGTTAATTTAAAAAAAAAAATTTTTATGGTTTAATGGTTTATTCTTTAACCCTGTATAGTGTGAAGGCATGCCCCGCTAACAGTTCAACATGTGTTTGGGTAATTCTTTATTAATGGTGTCCCACCATACATCAGGTATTCTGGTGTAATTGCAACAATACATTTTTGACACACATTGAGTGGTTATATTGTGCATATAGATTTTATTTTAACATTGAATTGAATTGCTTTTATTATATTGTAATGAGAGTTTAATGTCTGTGGTGTCACAACAATGGATGTAAAAGGGGAATTCATGTAAATTCTGTACTGGACAACTTTTTTTTAGATAACTTGCAGATTTGACATTTTAATCTATATTTTCATAAACAAAGTCTTCTTAATATTTACAAAATGTCCCCTGATCTTGAATCTATCATGATGGCTGTCCCCATTTTAGGACAATCTTGGTGAAAATAGCACGTGCTTATAAATATATGGACAACTTGAACATTTACTAATAATGAACAATCGTTCTGTTTTATTTATCTTAGTTAATGTTAATTTCAGCATAATACTGTAAAAAAGAATTTAAATTAAAAGTTGTAGGCTATTTGTTAACATTAATGCACTCACTGTAAACTAACATGAACAAACAATGAACAATATTTTACTAACATTAATAAAGATTAACAAATGCTTCAAAAATTGCTCATTGATAGTTCGTGTTAGCTAATGCATGAACTAATGTTAACAAATGAGACCTTACTGTTTTGCCAGAACACATTCTGCCACTCGTTTGCCACTCCAATTGACGAATGAACCGTTTAATGAACTGCATCTTTGTTCACTGGGCAGTAATGGTGGAAATGTTCAATAGCTGTTTTTTTTTTTTTTTTTTTTTTTTTTGTAAATCAGACTTTTTATAGCGTATAATATCCTCTTCTTGTATCCAACGCTCGCACGCGCGCGCACTCACTCCTCCCAGATGACGGGAGCGCGCATTTGCTTTGACTCACTCAAGATGGCAACTGGAGCAGAACACGGCTTGAAAAAGATAGTTTGGCAAAGTAAGTTCATTGAGAGCAACAGTTGATTTTCTTCACACGTCTCGCATGCACAGTGCTACACTTCATCGTTTATACGAGTTCAGCTCAGAGGAAGAGCTGTCAGAAGTTTGAAGAGACACAGTTAACTTAGTGTGCTGGGTTTGCCCAGAGGAGTTAACGTCACAGCCGCCTCATGAAGTTATTTAGGTGTTTGTTTTGGTGTTAAATAAGAAAAAAAGTGCGATATGGGGTGTGTTTCGTTTGTTTGTCTCGGTGAATGTCTTACATGTGTTACAGTGGATCACTGTTTCCGTTAGCTGCTCTGCTAATGTTAGCCTGTCCGGTTCAGCTCACTGTGAACTGCAGGACTTGTGTCTGTTTTTAACGGAGAACGGGTTTATAACATTAGTTGTGGGCTCTGTATGTTGTCATGACCTTGGATGACGCGGAGCGTTTGATGATGTCATAATGTAACTTCAGTTCTCGCGCCCTTGTGTTACATTCTGTGAACTTTATCAGTGACTTCCGGTCTGCTGTGTTGTGACATTTGAGTTATAATGAAAGGAGAGCCATTTGTGTCCATAACATTTAATAGCCGTGACACGCACAAAGTAATTTTACCTTGTTAAATGTATATATTCTGATGTGTATGTAGGCTATGTGCACGTGTTTTAAAAGTATTTAAAAGGGGTATATGCACTTTGACGTGTATATATAGCAGTGGTTCTGAACCAGGGCCCTTTAAAGAGACCCAGTAGATCAAAATCTGGAGAAAAAACATTAACAGATCAAGATCTGCATGTAAATTGACAAATATTAGTCAAATTCACCTTTCACTCATACAATTGTCCTCACTGCAGTGCAGACTGACTTTTCACTACTTTAAAAAATAAGATAATATTAATAAATCTAAAGAGAGGAAGTGGAATTGTGTTAAAAAAAAAAAAAAAAAGAAACCCAGTCCAAAAGTTGGTAAAACACATCTTGTACTTTTACTTTCATTTAACATATTCATACTTTTTTTATTTTATCTCTACATAAGACTACATGTCTTTGCCCTCAAGCAGAACAAACTAAAAAATATAGGAAATAACACTTCTTGGAATTTTTTTTCAGTTCCACGGTGCATCAGCAAAACCGATTCACTGCTTTAACTAATAGATTGATTTATCTGACGTCACAGGAATCAAGGACACCATCATTGCCGACTGCAGAAAGTCAGAAGTATGGAAGGTCAGTTTGAATGCATTTATCAGTTATTCCAGTAGTGAGTATCTGTCTATCTATCTGTCATCTATTTGTTTGTATAATTACAGATATTACCATTTTATTTAAATAATATATTAGTACCTTTTAAAAGTAACATTAACTGAGGTTAATTAATGCTTTAGTTTCGTTTTTTTATCGTTAGTTCATGTTAACAAATGGAACCTTATTTTAAAGAAGGTTAGACTAAATATTTTAAGGTGACTTTCTTATAGATCTTGTAACAAATAAGAAAGTACTGAGTAATATGAATTAACAGCACATACATGTACATGTAACGTGTAAGAAGTATACTGTACAATAAAGTGTTACTGCAGAAGTATAATTACTGAATGGTTTTAATAAAGGGCACCTTGATTTGAAAGGGACCAGAATTTTTTAATTACGTGAAGGGATAGTCCACGCAAAAATGAAAAACTTGAATAATTTATATTGTTTCAAACCTGTGTGAATTTCTTTCTCATGCAGAACACAAAAGAAGATATTTTGAAGAATGTTGCTAACCAAACCTTTTCGGTTCCCATTGACTTCCATTGTATGGACAAAAAAATATGATGGAAGTCAATGGGAACCGAAACGCCAGGATTCTTCAAAATGTCTTCTTTTGTGAAAGAAATAAAGAAAGTCATACAGGTTTGGAACAACATAAGGGTGAGTAAATGACGACGTAGTTTTCATTTTTGTCTAAAGTATCCCTTTAAAGGAACACGCCACCCGTTTTTTTAAATAGGGGTTATTCACCGTCTCCCCAAGTTTAGATAGGTGGGCAAACGCATTTTTGTCTCAGTGCATGCATTGTCTTAGTCTGGCAGCGTCGCCGCTAGCTTAGCTTAGCATAATGAATGGGATCCTTTGTTGCCGGATAGCATGTCGTGAGTAAAAGTGATCCAAAAAAACAACCTAATTACTTCTTGTGGCCTGCGTATTCATGTACAAATAGCAATGCAGATTAAGACTAGGTGATTTCCTAGGCAGACATTGACTTGGGACTATATTGGGGTGAAGCACAGGCGAAGCACTGCTACTGGGGCGCAGAGATATCACGCAACACCTGAAATCCCCCAACTGCCGTCAACATACCGAATATCTTCGATATCTCAGCGCCCCAGTAGCAGTGGTTCGTCTTAATCTGCATTGCTATTTGAACTCGTTGTGAATCAATCAAAACTAACTTTAACTGGAAAATAACTTTATCCTAGAGCTGCCATAAAGCCAAAACAATCTGTTACTTTAATTTCCTGTCATCACTGTAAAGCCGCTTTGGAACAATCTACATTGTTAAAAGCGCTAAATAAATGAAGATGACTTGACTTGAATATGCAGGCTACAAGAAGTAATTATTATTATTATTATTATTATTTATTTATCACTTTTACTCACAACATGCTATCTGGCAACAAAGGATTCCATTCGTTATGCTAAGCTAAGCTAGCGGCGGCGCTGCCAAACTAAGACAATGCATGTACTGAGACAAAAATGCCCACCTATCTAAATGTAGCGGAGACCGGAGACGTTGAATAACCCCTATTTCACCCCTATAAAACGGTGGCGTGTTCCTTTAACAATTCCTGTTCCGCAGTTGTGATTGATGTCAAATCTGTCTCACAGATCCTCATACTGGACCAGTTTACCACCCGCCTCCTCTCCTCCTGCTGCAAAATGTCCGATCTCATGTCAGAGGGCATCACAAGTAAGTGAAGGGAAAGAGGTTTTGCTCCCGGGTTCAGTCGAACATCCTTTGTGTTAGACAGAAATGCAGCTCTCTGTGGATCCAGTGCTTGAACTTCTTTGTGTAGTGAGAGTCGGAAACTCTTCCTTCCTGTGTTTTCCAGAAGGGAAGCTTTCTCATTTCCTCTTAATCAAGACAAAGAATGAACTGGATGGGGAATTATTGTCATAATGTGTTACCTTTTGTTTGTTCACAGTCGTGGAGGACATTTACAAAAACAGAGAACCAGTTCCAGAGATGAAGGCCGTCTACTTCATGACCCCCACTGCCAAGGTCAGAGTTCAGGAGACATGCACTATATGATCAAATGTATTGGGACACCTGATCATTAAACCAACAGGGACTGTAATGACGTCGCACACTAGGGTGTTTTCACATAGGGTTCGTTTTAAAAGAACCAAACCCAGTTCACTTAGGGTGTGTTCACACTTGTATTTTGGTTCAATTGGTCTGGACCAAAAAAAATGTATTTAGTCCTGGTCCGCTTAGCGTTCACGTTGGCATTTTAACACAGAACCTAAAGACATATAGATACGTTCACAACCTGATTGGTCTGCTTTGATTGCATGTATTTTGTGACGGAACTTACCGAACATTCAAAACAATTTTGTGTCCTGGGATAAATGCGCTCGTTGTATGTGTGTAGCTACATATGGTGGTGCTTTGACCCGCTGAGAACTCGTGAAGAGCTTATATAATGTGTAAAGGAGTCAAAACAGCGCCAGGAATCCCTCCGTCACACACAAATGAAGATCTGCTGCGAGGAGACCCGGTTCTGATCCTGTACTGAACTGTGATGGGCAACATCACGACTATGATGAGAAAAAACAGGTTTGCTTGAGCATTCGGTCCTTTTTAGGGTCACATCTTGTGACATCATGTCCTGTTTTTGGTTCATTTACATGTCTTTGGTCCGTGGTGTTCATATTTCAGTCGAACCGCACCAGAGTTCGCTTGGAAGCGGATCGAGACCCGTCTTTTCATCGGTGTGCACCAGCGTTTGGACGGCAGCGTTCACACTTATTCAAATGAACCGCACTAACAGAGCAATCGCACCAGGGTTTGTCTTTATCGAACCAAACATGCCAAGTCTGAACACACCCTTAAAGACACACTAAGAACACACCCTTATCACTCCGACAGCGTTTAGAGGGCTCAAACAAACTAGGAGTGAAAACACACCTAAATATACACACATTAATATGGAGTTGGTCCCCCCTTCACAGCTATAACGGCTTCCACTCTTCTGGGAAGGCTTTCCACAAGATTTTGAGTTTTTCTGTGGGTATTTTTGCCCATTTATCCAGTAGCACATCTGTGAGGTCAGGCACTGGTGTTGGACGAGAAGCCCCGGCTCACAATCTCCATTCCACTTTATCCCAAAGGTGTAGATGGGGTTGAGGTCAGGACTATGTGCCGGCCAGTCAAGTTCCTCCACACCAAACTCATCCAACCATGTGTTTATGGACCTTGTTTTGTACAGTGAGACCCAGTCATGCTGAAATAGAAAAGGCCTTCCCCAAAACTGTTCCCACAAAGTTGGAAGCACAGCATCATCCTAAATGTGTTGGTATGCTGAAGCATTAAGACTTCCCTTCACTGGGAGTAAGTGGCCAAGCCCAACCCCTGAGAAACAACCCCACACCAGCATTCCCCCTCCACCAAACTACAGTTGGCACAGTATAGTCGGGCCGGTAACGTTCTTCTGGCATCCGCCAAACCCAGACTCATCCATCAGACTGGCAAACAGAGACGCATGATTCGTCACTTGACAGAACATGTTTCCACTGCTCCAGAGTCCAGTGGCAGCATGCTTTACTCCACTTCCCACACTTGTAGTTGGCGATGTGAGGCTTGCCTGCAGATGCTCGGCCATGGAAACCCATTCCGTGAAGCTCCCGCCGCACAGTTTTTGTGCTGATATTACTGCCAGTGGAAGTTTCACTTTTTCGCTATGAGATCAGCAGAGCTTTGGTGACTTTTCCGCATGCGCCTCAGCCCTCTGTGACCCTGCTTTGTGTCTTAACATGCTTTTTCACTTGTTGCTGCTGTTCCTAAATGCTTCCACTTTCCAGTAATTCCACTTAAAGTTGACCAAAGAATAGCAAGGATGAAATTTCACAAACCGACTTTATTGCAAAGGTAAATCCTATCACAGTACCACACTTGAACTCACTGAGCTCTTCGGAACAACCTATTTTTGTTTGTAAGTGCAGACTGCATGGCTTGATTTTGTCCCAATACTTTTGTCCATATAGTGTACATAATAAGCCTTTATTGTGATGATCTGTTTGTGACCTGGATGTTTTATGTATACAGTGTGTTGATGCATTTATTAATGACTTCAAAGAGACACCCAAATACAGAGCTGCATACGTCTTCTTCACTGACTGTGAGTTCACTGCTTCAACTCTGATTTGATTAAAAACAAACCCGCTAGATTGTGTGTTGTTTTTAGCAGCAGTGACATTTTTATTACTATTATATTGAAATGACCCCAGACTGTCCTGATGAGCTCTTCGACAAGATGAAGAAGAACTGTGCCAAACACATTAAAGTGTGTAAAGAGATCAACATCTCGTTTCTGCCACAGGAAGCACAAGTGAGTTTATCTGTATTCTGCAATTTATGTAGCTTGGTCTGGCAGAGTGTTTTATTGTGTATGACTGTGTTTTATGGGTCACCTGTGCAGGTGTTCACCTGTGATAACCCAGAGGCCTTCAAGAGCGTCTACAGTCCGAACAGTCAGGACAGAGATCAGACGCTGGAGAGGATCGCTGATCAGATCGTAACTCTCTGCGCCACGCTGGACGAGTACCCTGGAGTCAGATACAAGAAGTACAGACACTCTTATTCACTACACATCTGCTCCCATTACACCTGATGCTTGAATGGACTTCGAGTCATTGAATTCTGTCCTCTGCAGAGATTCAGCTCTCGTATATGGAAAGCAGTTGGCTGAACTTGTGGATAATAAACTGGCGCGACATTACGAGTTGGATGACAACTCGAAAATAAAGGTGAGAGCTGTAGAGTGTTTACAACAACCAAACATATTGGTTGGATACAAAGCTTTATACATAAAAATATAGTTTTCTTGAGATACAGTATACTCTTTAAAAGTTAAGGGTAATATATTTATGTGTAAATTAATATATTTTCTTTTTTTTAGCAAGGATGCATTAAACTGATCAAAAGTGCCAGTAAAAATTGTGGCAACGATATCATTTCTATCGTTATATATTTTGCTATATTGTTAATATAGTGGTATGTAAATAAATATATCTGCGTAAAGCAGAACTACTTAAAGTTATTCCCATGCATGAATGAGGAAAATTAAGAGCAGTGTAATGCGCTTAAATGGACAAATACATAAACAATTGTCAAAATGCCCACCGTGTGGAGTATTCAGTGAAACACAGTCAGTTGTGTCTGAAGCGAAACCTGATGTGTATCAGCGTATTAGATCTGTGCATTCGGCCTTAAAGAGACAGCAGCCTAATAAACCTGCTGCTCTCTTTGTTATTAATATTAATCAAACAACAACAGAAAAAAGAAAATCACTCACTGCTCTTGACTGGAGGACTTTTGTATCTTTAATAAGAATCAATTTATATTTAATTCATACTGTGAAGACTAAGCTGTGTCTTATTTTTACGTTTGATTATTCAATTTCTGCAGTATTTCTTATTAGTAAATAAATGTTTTCTTGGTAAAAACGACTAACTATTTGTTTTTTCTTAATTTTAATAACCAAAATAACTAAATTGTGATATATCGTTATCGTGAAATATAAACTCTCATGTTACAAAAGTTTCTCATTTGAAATAAATGCTGTTCTCTTGAACTTTCTGTTCATCACAGAATCTTGAAGAAATGTATCACTGTTTCCACATATATAAATAATACGAATAATTAGAAGCACAACTGTTTTCAACATTGATGATGATAATAATAAGAAATATTTCTTGAGCAGCATATCGGCATATTAGAACTGGAGTGTATTTCAGTCTTTTCACAAAATATGTATTTTCTTTATATAAGTGTATGTGCTCTGAAATGGGTTTGCAACAATGGCTGGTTAAAATGAAAGTTTTTTTTAAAAAGTAAATCAGAAATGTTTACAGCAATAAGTAAATTAATGTGTAATACATGGTAATAAAATAATGGTTGGTAAAAAAAATGGCTGGTTCAGTGCCACATTCAGAATTTTGAATAGACTTTAATTTAGTAATTTTGTAGGGAAAGCCCTTGTGGGATTGGTGAATAAGGTCATTTCCTCATTACTCCCTGAGGCTTGTTTCTGGTCTTGGATTTTATTCTGATGTCATCTTGTAAGTGACATTTCTACTAGCACAAACCATCAGAACTTTTCTTTCATATTCAGGCAAAAACGCCGGCTCAGCTTCTGATCGTTGATCGTGCGCTGGACCCTGTCAGCCCCATTCTTCACGAGCTCACCTACCAGGCCATGGCTTTTGACCTCATACCTATGAAGGACAACGCCTACGAGTACGTCACCTCAGCCAAATCACTTCTATTTAACTCTGAAATGATCATTACGGAGGATCAGTGTGAATCAGAGTTGTCTCTATTTACCTTAAAACACATCCCTGTTGTTATTATGGTTCTGCTGTGTATCAGTGTTTTTCTGTGTTTACTCTTAGGTATAAAACAAAGGATGGCTCCAAGAAAGAAGCTTTACTGAATGAAGAGGATGAATTATGGGTCAAATTACGTCACATGCACATTGCTGAGGTCACTGGGTGAGTAGAAATACTTGAGTTCAAATGAACCAGTAGACTCTGGTCAGATATTATTTAACTTCACTGTGTGTGTCAGTACTTCTCTAGATTTAATAAAATACACCACCGTTTCAAATTAAAATTTGTTCATGTTTTTGAAATAAGTCTGCATTTAGTTAATCAAAAATACAGTTAATACAGTAATATTGTGAAAAATTATTACAAATTAAAATAGCAGTTTTCTATGTGAATATATTGTACAATGTAATTTTTTGCTGTGATGTTAAAGCTGAATTTTCAGCATCATTACTCCAGTCTTCAGTGTCACATGACCTTTTAGAAATCATCAGATATGATGATTTGATGTTGAAAAAAGTTGTGCTGCTTCATATTTTTCAGGATTCTTTTATGAATAGAAAGTTCAAAAGAGCAGCATTTATTTTAAATTGAAATCTTGTAACAAAGTAGTGTATTTATACATTTCTCTCAACTCCGTCCTCCTTGGAGCTTGTTGCAGTGCATTATGGGATTGCTTCATCCATATAAGACACGTGCATTGTGGCCCTGTTATATGCCAAATTATCATCATAAACATCCGTAGCAATGTAACCAGTACTTATGTGTTTGTTCCAAAGGCAAATCCCCAAACTGGTAAAGGACATCTTTGCCGGCAGAAATGAGAAGCAATCGGCTGATGGGAAGGTACAGTATGTTTTTACAGTGAATAACAGCTCAGAACAATAACGGTAGTCTCCAGTTACAGATTCCCTCATTCGAGTGTGTCATACATGCCCCCTGTCATTGACAGATCACAATCGGAGCGCTCTCGCAGCTCATGAAGAAGATGCCAGCCTTTCGTAAGCAGGTTACTCAGGTAATCGAGATGCCTCACCTGCCCTGGAAGAGTGTGCTATCACATGACACCTGGGACCTATACATTCAACAGGCTGCCTAAAATACTGTACAAACCCACTGAGTGACTCACTTGCCCTTTTTATGTTTCCCGTCTCTTTCAGAAAACGGTCCACGTAAGTTTAGCCGAGGATCTGATGGGCCATTATCAGAAATATGTGGAAAAACTCTGCAAAGCGGAACAGGTAGAGCATGGCGATCACTTGAGGGAAAGGACGCCCTTTTCTGGCCAGAGTGTGTATGTTCACGCCTCTGGTTTGTGTGTAGGATCTGGCTGTAGGTGCAGATGCTGAAGGACAGAAGGTCAAGGACCCCATGAGGACGTTACTTCCTGTGCTGTTAAACCAGTATGACACCACTGACAAGATCCGGGCCGTCCTTCTCTACATCTTCAGTCTCAACGGTGGATGTTTCTCTTTTCCTGTCATGTAGAGATTAGGAAACGGCTGATATGTTTTCGTGCTGGATGTGTAAAGCTGAATATATGTGTGTTTGTGTGTCATGGTCAGGTACAACAGAGGAGAATCTGAATAAACTGATCCAGAATGTGAAAATCGAGCATGAAACCGGGTATATCCTTAACTGGAAACATCTGGGAGTTCCCATTGTCTCCTCAGTGAGTCCACGGATGCTTTCTTCTCCTCTGGCACTGCTTCTTTTCCAACTGCCATTACATAACTTCCTCATACTAATAACTTATCTGGTTGTGATATGTTTTGAATTGCAGTTTTGTAGCTTGGAACATATTTATGAATATGGAAGTGAGAGTATGCTGTGTGGTTTTACAATACCAGTCTTTCAGTATCAATACTCATGACACTTAGAGCCAATTCCCATACTGAAATATTATTAGGATTGATAAACTTTAATATGCTATTGAATCAACTTGGTAGTGAAGTACTGGTGGCAATTCTGATGGGGCGTGTGACATACAAGTTTTTATTTTGGCTGATATTTAGTTTTTTACCTTCATCTCTCTTCATAAGTCAAGCATGTTCTCATCTCGTAAACAAGCACGGAGAGACCGGTCAGACCAGGAGACTTACAACGTTTCTCGCTGGACACCCGTCATCAAAGATGTAATGGAGGTGAGTTAACCTAACGTGAAAAAATGCATCATCTCCATGTTAATCAAAGTTTTTATACTTCTACTGCACATTTTAGAGTGGCCTTTTATTGTGGCCAGCCTAAGGCACACCTGTGCAATAATCATGCTGTCTAATCAGCATCTTGATATGCCACACCTGTGAGGTGGATGGATGATCTCGGCAAAGGAGAAGTGCTCACTAACACAGATTTAGACAGATTTGTGAACAATATTTGAGAGAAATAGGCCTTTTGTGTACTTAGATCTTTGAGTTCAGCTCATGAAAAATGGGGGCAAAAACAAAAGTGTTGCGTTTATAATTTTGTTCAGTGTATCGTACCTCGTTTCAGATAATACAAATTTGACTTGTAGTCCAGAAAATATGGTATAGCAAATGATTTCTCTGACCCCCTGGCTATCGGATGAGTTACCCCACTTTGAAAACCCTTGGATTAATATATATGTATTATATAATACATAGATTAATACATAGAATATATTGTTTACTGAACCTGAGCTAACATGAACTAACAATGAGCAGTTTAATGCACTAACTAACATTAGCTAATGGGACCTTATTGTAAATCGTTGCCTTGTTTGTGTGATGAGTTGGAAATTACACAGATGTAATGTAACCATAATGTATAAACTGGAAATACAAACATGGAAGTTTGCAAGACATACATGTGGATGTACAAGATTTTCATCATCCATGCAGCAGTATCCCAAAAAGGGCAAGTAAGTGTCCCGAAACGCTCTCACCGCCCCTGGGCCAGCAGGTCATCCTTATTCTCGAGCTCTGATATATAATACAACAGGATATGAGCTTACACTTATAGTGTCTAATGTAAATAAGACCAATGCACATTTGTTCATGGCTAAGGGCACTGACATTATATCCTAGGTTTTGACTGACAGATCAAATGTCATGCTTCCAGAAATCACAAATAGACACTGTCTGATTTCCTTGTCATCTATAAATAGTACTTTAACACTGGTGAAAACCATTAGATTTCTAGTTGATTTCAGTGGAAAAAAAACCCTGAATTGCACAAGTGGCTGTGCATTTCACAGCTAGGCCTTCAGTGGTGTCCTACCAGAATTAACCCACCTCTTAATCCCATCATTATGACTCCACGGCTATAGAAACCTTCATTATACAGAAACGAAGTATAGCAGGGCTTTGCATCACAGACGGTATCTCAGGCAGCAAGAATGAATGCCATTATTAAAGCAAGAAACCCAATTCACACAATTCAACCAGTCTCCTTTCACTGCGCCACATACATCATCTCTAGCAGAAGCATCAATATTAACCTTATTAAATGACACAAATACAGTCCACCCCAGGTTTTCCCGTTGTTTTTTGTAGTGCCTTTTGAGTTCTCCGACCACAGAAAACCCGGAGAATACGGTTTTCTGGGGATTTGAAATTAGAGCAGAGAAGGCCTTGCTGAGCCTGAAGGCCCACCACTGTGCATTAGTAAGAAGAGCAAATAAAGACTACTGTGTTATATTTTGGATTTGTCAACTAAGTGTGTGTGTGTGTGTGTGGTAGGATGCAGTGGAGAACAAACTGGAGGTTAAAGACTGGCCGTTCCAGTCTGAGTGCCCGTCTGCGTGGAACGGCTCGCGTGCCGTAAGGTAGAGCCAGACACTTTGATTCACAGTTCCTGCAAGTCTGTTTCATAATGAATTAATGACTGCATCATTTACTTTAAGATACACACTTAAGCTCGGTTCAGACCACAGGAGTTTATAAATCTTAACCGATTGTGAAATCTGGTTGCATCACGCACATAAGGAGAATCTTCATACATTTTCTTCTTTCAAATCTCAAACCTGCACACACTAGAAGATTTGAAAGTCATGCCGCATCACACACTACAATATATAGATTATCATGCCAGATTTAGCATCTCACGTGATCTCACGGGGAAGCGGATGTAAACAAAATGTACACTGTCTCTCGGCAACTTATAAAGGCATTATAAAGGCAGTCGTGCCATTGCCACATATTGAGCAGCCGCTCCTCCCGTACCGATGCTGTTTTTTTCGCCATTTCAAAAGTTCTGTCACTTCCGTCTCCTTGTAGACTTGAAGTACGGACGTAATCATATTCGTAATCATGCCGATTTAAATCCTAAATATCAAACATGTTTGATATTGTCGGGGTGTCCGCGAGCAGATCGGGAGATTTAAGATTTGATCTGTAAACGCCTCACATTACCAGATAATCTGGGCTGACCTAAACCGACTGATGCCCTGGACACGCTCTTTTTCCTCCGAATGTTGGAAAGGGTGAATCAGGAATAAAATGGTCTAAAACTCCTGTAGTCTGAGCCTGGCTTTAAAGGGATAGTTCACTTTGAAATTAATCTTTGGTATGTTTTAGCTTACCTCAAGGGCATCCAAGATGTAGGTGTCTTTGTTTCCGCAGTAGTTTCAATTTTGATATTTTTAGGTCAAACCATTCTTGTCTGTCAGTCATATACTTCCGGCACTTGCGCAGACCGAAGCGCCCGCGCCCTCAGATCACTTGGACGTGGCTGTGGTTACAAGAGGTAAAAACGATATAAATACTGTTCGTTTTCTCACACAAACCGCTCGTTTCGTGTCTTAGGCCATCAATGTGTACTTACATTTACGAGTCATTAAATCATGTTTAATTTGGACTTCTCTGTGCATGCTCTTTGAGGTGGTGACCATAGACCTGCATTATATGACTGACAGACAAGAACGGTTTGACCTAAAAATATCAAAATTGAAACTACTGCGGAAACAAAGACTCCTACATCTTGGATGCCCTTGAGGTAAGCTAAAACATACCAAAAATTAATTTCAAAGTGAACTATCCCTTTAAAGCCATATTCTAGGTTCACTATCTTGGCATATTTTAATTCTCCATTAGAAAAAAAAAATCAATCCAAAAAGTTTCATTTTGGAGTTGTAGTCAATGTCTCTTTCTTGATTTCCTCTGGGCTTTCAGAGTGGTGAGGTAAGGCAAGGGTCAACTTTGGGTTGTTTGCTGCTTGTTCTGTGTTTACATACAGAATTACACATTTCGTACATTAAGGTTCCTTTTTGTTGCCTTGTTTCATGTTATTTATTTATTTTAAATAACATGGACCACCTACAATGAAATCTCTTCTCATTTCCTGCTGATGATATAATTGCATGACGTCAGATCATCCACTACTGTTCAAATCTTTGGGGTCAGTAAGATTTCTTTTTGGTTTAAAGAAATGAATACTTTCATTCAGCAAGGATGCATTGAATTGCAGTGTTGGAGAAGCTCTGAAACTGTAGTTTGACAGGCTACACGTTACTCATACGTTAAAGGAGTTAAGACACAGTCAAGCCACTCCACTGATAAGTCGTTTGCTACACTACAAATTGCGATCAAAAAGTAGCTAGCTACATTGAATTTTTTTTTACAATGACATTGTATATTACAAATAACTGAAAAGATTTGGAGTTTAAAACAGTGAAATGCATTACAATTCTGATTTCAAAGAGTTTTGTTTTATTTTGTAAACTAATCCAATGATACACACAATACTCCAATATAGCCTATATCTCAAACTGACTGTCAAAGTGCAAAATTGTTACAATTGTAACATCAAAGCAAGAACAAAATATATGCAACTTAAATTGGATACACAGGAGTAGTCAAACATGTACGTTAAACTCACAGCACATGCAGTGATGAAGCTCATTTACTGTGAGCGCTCTGTGACGCTTCGTTCTGAAACCGACTCAACCTACTTCATTAGATCACAGCCTTTGCCTTGTGATAAGCGCAATAATATTACGATTTTTTTTTTTTTTTTGATTGACGGATGCTTTGCCAAAGCAACGGCTCAAAACACAACGCTAGTGATCTTTTAGGTTCATTATAAAACTGTGGCGGGAACGTTAAACTATGACGGGTCATCATAAAATCAGAAGTAGACATTTGAGACAGAGTGGAATAAAGCAGGACAATTAATCAATTTAAAATTGCTATTGTTACACCTGTATGTGTTTTAAATCTTTGACGCAGACAGCAACAACTTCTATAAATTACATACAGTTGTGTAAACTTTACTAGTCGACCCAAGTGAAATATCAGCCTACTTCTGTATGCCCTTTATATAATCCTCAGATGATCTCTTCCCAGTGAACTGTAAAGCCGTGAGATGTGTGATGAAACTATAGATGCTGGTAACGCACCATTTTAGTTTGTGATCTAATCAGAAGACGATGTTTTAATGCATTTCAAGCTCGTCAAAACTCAAAACGAAATGTAGCTTTTTGGTCACACTACTTGCTGGAAAAAGTCGTTCGCTACTGTTTTAAAAGCAACTGAGCTTCTGTCAAGCTCCTGACATATGGAGTTAACTTAGCAGTGACAGTAGAGACATTTATATAACATTAGGAAATATTTCTATTTCAAATAAATGCTGTTCTTTTTATCTTTCTATTGTTTTCAACATTGATAATAATCATACGCATCAAATCCTCATATTAGAATGATTTCTGAAGAATGACACTGAAGACTGGAGTAATGATGCTGAAAATTCAGCTTTGATCACAGGAATAAATGACTTTTTACAATATATTCACATAGAAGACAGCTATTTAATAATATTTCACAATATTGCTGTTTTTACTGTTTTTCCGATCAAATAAATGCAGCCTTTGTGAACATTCGTCGTCTTCCAAAAACAAAACAAATCTTCGCGACCCCAAACTTTTCAACAGACCTGTATGCAGAAGGCATTTTCTTGTTGCATGCAATAAATGTGTGTTTTCTTCCATTGACTGTGTGTGTGTTTTGTGTCAGTGCGCGGCAGAAGCACAAGGGCAGCTCTCCGGATGATCTCAGGAGCGGCTCGCGCCTCATCGTCTTCCTTCTGGGTGGAGTCAGTCCCTCAGAGATGCGCTGTGCTTATGAAGTCACGCATGCTAATAAATCCTGCGAGGTCATCATCGGTAAGGGTCCATATGAGCGCTCGCGAACAACATCGTTCTGTATTAAACCTGAAAGAGGCTCTGTGGCTTAATGGTTTAAAATCCTGCCTGTGCATGGTTTTGAAACCGAGCCGCTTTTTTTTATCGTCCTCAGGCTCGACACACATCCTCACTCCGCGTGATCTGCTGCAGGACATCTTTAATCTGGGCAAACAACCCATGGAGAAATTCACCGTTGAGGAGGACAAACCCTGAGCGCTGCCTAATTTACCCACCAGGACTGAAGGGAACGCGTCTCAGCTGCCTCTGTGTCGCCTCGATCAGCATTACTTCTCATTCCTTTGAACGCTTTTCACAGGAAAAATAAACAGGGTGATTAAAACACATCCTGAGGTGGTTTCATGTGTAAAACATCATGCTCGTTTTAGGTTACATATAATGTTAAGTCTTTACAACTAACTTCACTAACAATGAGATTTGGGTTTGTTGAGGTTTTTAGGCTTTTCTAAATTGTTTAATACAATATCATGGAAAATAAAACATGCAAGACGATTCAGGACTTGTGTAACATCTTATTTGTTTGAAAACCCTTTAATACAGTAGAAGCACATTTAAAATAATGCATAAATGACATCAGCGTACTTATGACCGAAGCCTTACAAACTGGTGCCTTTATTTACTAGTGCACTGGATATACACTTTCTGTATATCTCTCATACTAACTAGTTATTTGTAAAAAGAAAAAAACCTTGACTGTCAATTTGACAAGATGTTTTAATGTTTGTCTTTTTGTTTTTGAATTGGGTTGATCTGTACATATTTATTCTCGCTCGTGTGTGTGTGTGTGTTTGCTTGTATAAAACGTGTATACTCAAGAATGAATAAAGGAGGGATTTAACAGATTGAATGTATACTTGCATTGAACGACTGACATGACATGAATGATGTGGTTCAATTCTAATTTGCTTTGTAACATTTAAACAGTGTTTGTAATGTGGTCTAATTTCATCTGTACTTCTACATAAAATATATATTGTCTCAATACATGATTTGGTGGATGTTGTCGTTGCCCTCAGGAGCTGTTGATTTGTACACTTCCTGAAGAAACTGCTGGTGTGGTTGCCGTGAGCAGTTTGTTTTTATTGAGAGATTAAACTATACAATTCCTGCTTGAGTTCATAAAAGGCAAAGAGACAAACGTAAGAAGATAGTCTTCTTTATTTCTGCATTACATGGTGTCCCAGAAACAGTCTCTGGTTACTGCAGGATTATGGTCTCCGCACAATAACTCGACTCTCTCAGAGGACTTGTTGCGAGTAAACCAATCTTATCAAATCTGTCCTATTTTGGGATTTAAACTATAAAGAAATGCGTGGAAACATGGATGTGCGTGTTGAGCAGCCATCTGAATGCATGTTGTATGAAGCCTGTATACGTTTACACAGCTCTGTCTGACAGAAAATTGATACCTTTATTTGTAGGGACAAAAAGATAACTAGAAAATGATCGAGTATAATGATTTTATTTTATTTTGTTGCTACTCATTAATTGAACTAAATTTCAATAACATGTTTTTATTAATTAGCCTACTCAGCAAATAACCAAACATATTAAATGATTTGACGAATGCACTTGTGAGCACGTACGTACACAACAAATATTAGTTATTTTGCCACTAAGATTAATATTAACCAGATTTGCATGCTTTATTATATACAGGTCTGTTATTTGTTTTAGTTTTTTTTTTTTTTTTAAAGAGAAATTTAATAAAAATGTATAAATAAAACTCTATAATAAAAATCGTCCTACTTTATATGCCTATAAGTGTCTTTAACTACTATAGGCTACTAACATTTATTTGTTACAGTTTGATATTTAGCAGTTATTGTGTAGGCCTACATGCGTTTTTTTACATTGTACTTATTTTTTTATTTAGTAGTAAAGTGTGGCCACACAAATACACGCAGAGATTTCCAGACATCTCACGCAGTTTTTGTCTTCTAATCTAGAGGGCTCTAGTGAATTTTCGACGATGACGTATTTTTGAAGCGACGGAAGAGTTGTTTGTAGTACAGTTCGCATTTATCACATATCCTGCACAGCACACCCTGAAGTCAAACACACAGGTAAAACATAAACGCTATTCATCATGCAAAGCTGTTTAATATGTAACGTTAGGCTTATAATGTTTCGCCCGAAACTGTACCCTCGGGTTTAAGCAGTGTTTAAGTAACGCGTGCTGTGAAGCTTGATTGTGCATCATCAGTATGACAGATCAATCATCCAGAGGTGTTTAACGTTAGACCTGTGATGACTTTATAGCTCTACACACATGTGTTATTGCGGTTTAAGCGGTAGGAAGTGTGTGCTGATGCGATATTTCACATTTTAAATGACATGGATGGAGCTCTTCATTCAGTCTGTGTTATGGGTGTGTCATATTCAGATTCAAGAGGTAACGTTATCGTTTTCCTTTTTATAGATCTTAATCAAGTGGTGAATTATGGTGAGTTATTCTTCCTTTCAGTGTAATGCCATTTCCTCTACTTTGCCCTAAATATAATCATTCTCATGTGACAGACCCTTAAAAATAATCATGTGACGGACCCTTAAATATGAACATTTTTATGTGACGGACCCTTAAATATGATCATGTGACGGACCCTTAAATATGAACATTCTCATGTGACGGACCCCTAAATATGTTCATTCCCATGTGACGGACCCCTAAATATGATCATTCCCATGTGACGGACCCCTAAATATGTTCATTCCCATGTGACGGACCCCTAAATATGATCATTCCCATGTGACGGACCCCTAAATATGAACATTCTCATGTGACGGACCCCTAAATATGATAATTCTCATGTGACGGACCCCTAAATATGTGACCGACCCCTAAATGTGTTCATTCTCATGCGACGGACCCCTAAATATGATCATTCTCATGTGACGGACCCCTAAATATGTGACCGACCCCTAAATGTGTTCATTCTCATGCGACGGACCCCTAAATGTGTTCATTCTCATGCGACGGACCCCTAAATGTGTTCATTCTCATGCGACGGACCCCTAAATGTGTTCATTCTCATTATGATCATATCAGATGATCAGATATAATATAAAACTCAAATTATACTGTGTAAAAATGAACAGTATAAATATGGCTAAAATCCTTAGTTTCTATTGCGTTATATTGTTTTACTTTTTGTTCTATTCACTCTGATAAGGTACCAAATACATCTATGCTGTTAGATGTATTTAAATAATTGTATTTATTTATCGTAATCAGGTTCTTATTTTTATGGAAGCTTGTTTTTGCCAAGGAATAAAACAATTTAAAAGATAATTGCGACTTTTTATCTCACAATTCTGTCTTTTTTCTCGCAATTGTGACAGAAAAAAAAGGTCAGAATTGTGAGATAAAGTCGCAAATACGTTTTTTTTTATTTTTTTTTATTTCGAGCTGAAAGCTTCCATATTATTCATTTAGTTATTGAAACCTGTAAACTTTCCCATGGACCCCTGGCACTTGAAAAGCCCTGCATCTGACGTGTGTGTGTGTGTGTGTGTGTGTCAGCACGGACGTGTGAAGTTAAAGTCAACAGCGCAGCAGGAGGAGGAGAAGAGGAAAGAGCGAGAGAAGAAGCTGAAGGCGTTTGTGTGCGCTCGCGATGCCGTCCTGAAGAAGGTTTGTCCCGCAGCGTGTGTGTAACGAGTGTGTAGCGTGACAGTGTGTGATCGCTCTGTCTGTGTGTCAGAGGAGCGCGGGGGAACAGGACGAGGAGGCTCTACACCTGACTCAGCTGCTCCTGTCCTCAAACCCCGACATCGCCACCCTGTGGAACTACAGGAGAGAAGTTCTCCTGCACCTGGAGACGCTACGGTGAGAGAGAGCGCTTCCTTTCACTCCAGGACAGGGTACGAGTTTCTGTGCTGCTGTGTTGTGAATGTAGAAGTGTGAGCTTGACTTAGGAGTCATTTTAACCTGTTGAGGTATGTTGCATTTCTTTCATTTTTTGGTCAACAACATCAGATTCCACATCTGTGTACGGTCACATCAAATATTTATGGCATGTGTTGACAATCTAGTGTTCACTTGTCATCGCAATCAGATAGTCTTACAGTGTTGAGAGATGACGGTGTCCTAATAACCATATTTGCATGTCACGTGTATTAAATGTTTAATCTCTTTGTTTTTTGGGGTGAAAAAATTAACTAAACATTGTTTTTTTTTAGTTTTTTTGATTAGAAATCTAATATTTTTCTTTATACCCAAGGCTTCTGAAAAATGTGTTACATTTTATTTCTGATTATTATAATATTTAGCAAATATTATATCTAGATTTATTTCATAGTTATGCAAACCACACACGTATTAAATGCAGAAATCCATTTTGTTTGGTGAAAATGTGTTTTTGTACTAAAAATATCAAAACAAATTTATTTGATCCCATCAGCTTTATTTTGGTCTTGTTTAAATTTATTACGAAATATTTTGCCAATATGCTTTGTGACTAGATTCTAGTATGTATATTATTCATATCATACATGTATAAAATCCAAAATCTTTAAAAAAAAGTATCAAAAAGATTTTTTTACTATTTTTCTTTCTGTCCAGGGCTTCTGAAAAATGACATTTAATTCTAATTATTCTGGTATTTTGACTAATATAATTTATTAGTAACTAGATTTATATCATATTTAATGTATATTGAATGAATGTGTGTGTGAATGAATTTCGCCCCCTGCCGAAAGAGCCTCTTGAAGCCGTCTCTCTCTCTCTCTCCTGCTCCTCTAGAGAGAAGGATGCGGTGCAGAAGCTGTACGAGTCTGAGCTGCTCTTCATCGAGGCCTGTCTGAAAGTGAACCCCAAGTCTTACGGCTGCTGGCACCACCGCACCTGGGTGAACACGCGCCTGCCCCGGCCCGACTGGACCCGGGAGCTCGGGCTCTGCGACCGCTGCCTCGGCCTGGACGAGCGCAACTGTACGACTGAACCAGAATGGACTGTGTGTTGCTCAGATTAGCATGTTTCTCCGTGTGCTAACGTGTGTTCCTCCTGCCTCTTCCCTCAGTCCACTGCTGGGATTACCGCCGCACGGTGGTCAAGGAGTCCGGTGTTTCTGTCGAGCAGGAGCTGCAGTTTACAGATCGCCTGATTGGCTCCAATTTCTCCAACTACTCCAGCTGGCATTACCGGAGCACGCTGTTACCTCGGCTCCGCCCCCAGCCGGCCCCTGACTCCGCCCCCAGCACAGCCTCGCCTCTGGGTCACTCGCACCGAGTCTGTGAGGAGCAGCTTCTGAAAGGTACAAAGCTTTAAGGCATCGAGACTTTCAGCACATCCTGGACACTGTATTGACCAATCAGTATTTTTAATCTCTGCATTTGTGGAACAGCAAATAGTATATGAGCTCATGATGTTCACTACCACTAAAAGATTTGGGGTCGGTCCAATTTGTAATGTTTTAAATGTAGAAAGCAGTCTCTTCTGCTCACCGAGGCTGCATTTATTTGATCATGCATAAAGTAAAAATAGTAATATAGTGAAATATTGTGAAAAATTGTAATACGTGTGAATATACCGTATTGTAAAAAGTCATTTATTCCTGCGTTCAAAGCTGTATTTTCAGCATCATTACTCCAGTCTTCAGTGTCACATGATCCTCCAGAAATCACTCTGATATGATGATTTGATGCTCAAGAAACGTTTCTGATTATTATCAATGTTTATGCCGTTTAATATTTTAGTTGTAACCATGATTGTATTATTCTTTGATGAGTTAAAAAGAACAGCATTTATTTGCAATAGCATTTTTTTTTATCAATTAATCAATTTAATGCATTGCTAAATAAAAGTATTAATTTCTTTTTAAAATATCATATTGACCCCAAACATGTGAACGGTCGTTCAGACTGCGCCATTTTCTGATCCCATTCTTCCTTATAGTTAGCTTTAAGTTTCTGTGTATTACAAATGAAAACAATACAAAATATATATTATTTATGTCTCACACAGAAAAAAAATGTGCTTATGCAATCAGAAAAGACATTTCTAGAATTACAGTATGATAATGTGCAGTCATTAGCACAAAATAAACCTAGAAACTGATTTTGACTGTACATTTATAATGCGTATTACACAGCTGCATCAAAATACATAATTGGAAAGGAAATATATATTTGAGTTGAAATTATTTTTATTATGTGAGAAGACTGTATACTATAAAACAATTGTTTGCAATTTTTCTCTTATTATTTCTCATGTTGTATTTTCTGTGTGGTGTTTGTGCTCTTGAAGGCTGTTAGTCTCTTAGTCGTGAGTGACATGATAATATGGTCAAGACCTGGAGCTACTTTATATCTGTGCAAAAATAATCTACACAGAATATGTCAGCCAATCACAATCAAGCGTCTAGGATGTTGTGGTATTAACTAAAATATTTGACCTCAGGTTACCGCGTTTGACCAGTCAAAGGTATTTCAGTGAGCCATGTAAGAGGATATTGATTTCTGACTTTATTTCTCTAGAATATGAGCTGGCCCATAATGCCTTCTTCACCGACCCCAACGATCAGAGCGCCTGGTTCTACTACCGCTGGCTGCTGGGCCGAGGTGAGTGTGTGTGTGTGTGTGTGTGTGTGTGTTTTCTGCACATTTGACGTGACAAGTCTGCTCACCCCTGCTGTGTGTGTGTGTGTGTGTGTAGCAGACCGAGAGGAGATGATCAGCTGTGTGTATGTCAGCCGGGAGGGCGAGAGGGTGTCTGTCGCCTTCTCCAAACCTGTTCAGGTAAGTGACCGCTGAGAGAAATCCACCAGCACTATTTAACCAGCACAGAGTGAATGAGTGAGTGTCTCTCTCTCTCTCTCTCTCTCTCTCTCTCTCTCTCTCTCTCTCTCTCTCTCTCTCTCTCTCTCTCTCTCTCTCTCTCTCTCTCTCTCTCTCTCTCTCTCTCTCTCTCTCTCTCTCTCTCTCTCTCTCTCTCTCTCTCTCAGGCGCTGTCAGTTGGTCTGATGCTGGTGTTGGACGGGCAGCCTCAGCCGGTGGAGTGGAGATGCGCCCATCCGCGTTTCCGTCACAGTCCTGTCTGGGTATCCTTCACTTCCGGGTCACCAAGCAGTGCCATTCCTGTTTTAAAGAGGACCTATTATGCTTTTGTTATGCTTATGTTTTTGTTATGCTCATTGTAGTCTTGAGTTTTCTTCAGGGAATGAACACATCACAATATTCCTCATTTAAATAATTCCCGCCAAAAGCATATGCAGAATAAAGGGGCGGGGCCTGGTTGAGTTAGTTAGTAGTGTCGAAACTGGCTGTTATTGTAAGGAGCGGGACATTTCCCAAACACGCTCAAAGTGCTCGACCAATCACAACACACTTCTCCAGCCGACCAATCAAAGCACACTGTGCTTTTCAGAAGGAGGGGCGTTACTGACAGACTGGGAAGAGAGGTGCTGCAACAATGACAAATATGGGGAAAAATAAAAAATTTTTTTTTTTGAACATTCAAGCATGAAAATCTGATCTAGTTGAGCCCTAAAACAAGATCAAGACTCTAACCTTGATGAAACTCGCCTGCCTGCAGCTTTTTATATTATTCCTGAAGACCTGGATTAGCTTGTTCAAATGTGTTTGATTTGGGTTGGAACTAAACTGCAGGAAAGTGGATCTCTAGGGCCAGAGTTAAGAAACACAAAAAGAGGCATTTAGCAGAATTTCCCAGATGCTCTTTTCCAGACAAAAAGCTCTTCCTTTGTTTGTAAAGCACTTGAGCTATAGCTTTCATCCACAAGAACACAGATCTTTAACCGTTTCTGTCAGCTGTGTGATCTTCCCCCCGGCTCCATCATTGACATGAGTAATGAACACAACCTGACCGTCCACTGGACAGAGAAACACACACACAGAGACTGTGCTCTCTACACAGGTGAGCGTCACACTGACACACGAGTGTGTGTGTGTGTGTGTGTGTGTGTGTGTGTAAGCAAGGAAGTTGAAGAAGAGTGATGGATGCAGACTGTGTGTGAACTTCTCTGTCATGTTTTAGGCTGTGCTGAAAGCTGGTGCAGAGACTCTGCTACTGATCAGGAACTGTTCAGGTACTTCTGTGCGTTTCTTTGTGTGTTTTTAATTGTTTGATGTTTTTTCTTTTTACCACCTAAACCCTTCATCTCTCAGGTGTGAAGGTGAAGAGCTTGCTTCGTAAGTTTAATATTGTGCATATGCAACAAATAAAGAATAAAGCCATTTTATTGGCAACATGCATCTGTCCATAAATCTCAGCCTAATTAATGCACTACCATTTAAAAGTTTAGGGTCAGTAAGAATTTTTTTTTTTTTTTTACTTTTTAGCAAAGATGCATTAAATTGAGGAAAAAGTGACAGTAAAGAAATTTATAATTCTACAGTACATTTTTATTTCAAATAAACTTTAAATTTTTTATTTAAGTTCTTTTGATCTTTCTATATATATCAAAGAAACCTGAAAAAAAGTATCACGGTTTCCACAAAAGTATGAAGCAGCACATCTGTTTTCAACATGGATAATAATCAGAGATGTTTCTTGATCATCATATTAGAGTGATTTCTGGAGGATCATGTGACACTGAAGACTGGAGTAATGATGCTGAAAACTCAGCTTTTTTAATCACAGGAATAAATTACATTTTAAAATATATTCACATAGAAGGTAGTTATTTAAAACTATAACAATATTTCATAATATTACTGTATTTTTGATCAAATAAATGCAGCCTTTTTGAGCAGGAGAGACTTCTTTCAAAAGCAAAAATAATAACCCCACACTTTTGACTGATAGTGTGTATATTAAAAACTATTTAAACAGTTTTGATAAAAAAGTTAAAGTGAATTTACATTTTTAAATATAGTTTTTATTAAACACTAAAACACATTTTGTATTTCTCAAAACAACTGTAAATCTGCAATAATTTAACTTTTCTTAATCTTGCATGTGTCACTAACATGTTTTTGCCGCAGCAAAACTCCAACGTCCTTCTCATGTTTCGCTCATGGGGGCAAATGTTTGTTGAGCATTGATAATTAAAGTTGGCCATTTCTTGTGATACGATGCATAACGTCAGAAATCAGTGCTGAATCTCAGCTCAGTGTGTGTGCGGCTCTCGGGTGTGTGACCCGCCCTCTGCCTGTCAATCGCTGGCAGATTCAGGTTTGCTGACATGTCTGCCGAGGGCGGGGTTTCGGTTTCAGTTAGAATGAAACTTTTATGTCAACTGTGTTACAATGAACAAAAAAAGGGCATTAAACGTGTTAATGATCAGGGTTTCCGCGGGGTTGTAAAAGGTAGTAAAAGGTAGTAAATTAAATTATGCCAAATTAAGGCCAGTAAAAAGTAGTAAAAAGTAGTAAACGTCATCTGACGAAGTAGTAAATTTTCGAACCCCCATCCAACTAGGCCTATGAGTTTCAATTTGTGTTAAGTGCAGGACTTTGTTCTAAAATTCGCGTGGATTTATTTATATGTTGCGAGTAGGACCTGTGCGATATCATGTGACGTGGTGTTTGTTCGTTCGCGCGCGCTGAAACAAACTGGGTACCCGGCTGGCCTGGCTTGCTGCCCAACCTGTTCGCGAGTTCGCTTCTATTTCAGTCATCAGTCGGCCGCCAAAGCCATATTTGATCGGTGAGTAGCCTAATGTAGACGACTGACTGCTACGCTTGTGACAGGGTGCATGTTAACTGAAAGAAGGAACAGAGAGAGAGCCCCGGCTGCGCGCGCGCACTCAATTCACTCTTGCTCTCTCTCCCTCGCTCATATTAATCAAAATCAATTGACAGACACGATGGTAAAAGGTCGGAAGACCGAAGTTTCACGTGGCGCAATTGGAAATTTATTTCCCGCTGTGTGTGAATTGTGCTAAAAAAAACGTTGCCTTATCTTCTCTCACGGCGTGTGCCACATTCAGCTGACATAACCACACTTTCAATAAAGGAAAAATCTATCCTAAAAAAACCTATTTGTTGACACAAATTTTGTGCGATGTCCTAACTGATGGGATAACCACACAATGCGTACACGTCCGCTAATGACGCGTCACTTTAATGAATGGTTAAAACAACTGATCTGTCCTCACGGGACTTCTGAATCGGTAACACAATATGGTTCCATTTATTAAAATCTAGTTAACTACATTAGTTAACATGAACTATTAATAAACTGCACGTCTACATCATTAATTAATCTTTCTTAATGTCAATTTCACCATATAGCCTACATTATTGAAATCAAAAGTTGTATTTGTTAACATTAGTTGATGCACTGTGAAGTAATATGAACAAACAATTCATGTATGTTGTAAACTACGTAGTATTTTCAGGTTATTTATGTTATAATGTGTAGAAACATTGCAAAAAAAAAAAAAAAATTAGTTTAGACTGGAGTGAGGTGAAACCAGAAAAAAAGTGCAAAGCAAGTTGTTATCTAGCAGCAATTTTTGTTATTTAATTTAAAAAAAAGAAAGAAGTATATCTGGCAGCTAATTCTATTAAATTTTACAGTATATGGTAGAAAATTAGACTTCAATAAACTTTTAAAATAAACTTTTTAATGCTCCGTTTTTATTCTACTTTTTGATATTGATATGATTATACCAAAACAATTATCACGTCCAGCAAAGAAGTATTTTTTTTTTTAAAAGGGCAAGAAAGGATAAGTGTCTGTCGGCCACCACCGAAGACCAATTTTGACCAAGGAAAAAACCCTGGACATTATGGGAAAATGCAAGTTTTCGAAGATATTTCATTACTTTACTTGTCTCTATATACGCCACTACAGTTGCATCTTGAAGTCGTGATGGTATTAAAAAATATAGTGAAGGTATTAAAAGGTATTAAATTCATTTTAAGAATTTCTGTGTATACCCTGTATTAAATGAAAGATAAAATATGATAGAGCAATATAATGAACAGTGACAGAAACAGAAGCATGCTTTTTAGCAGGATTAATTAAGCATGAAAATATCTGAAGGAAATATATATTTGATGAACAAATTAAGCCAACTAATATGATTTATATTCTTTTGGTTTATCTACTAATACATATAAAAATTACAAATGCAGTGAAAATTCAGGGATCGGTTACGGTATCGATATCGGCGAGTACCAAAAATGAAAGTATTGGTATCCGTCTCGTTCTGCAAAAAGTGGTATCGTGCATCCCTAATTGAAAATATTTAACGGGTTCGCGTGAGGGAGGAGCAAAGCAGTGCCATATTTGAAGCACATTTAGAGATGTGATTAAATAAATTGCTGTTTTGGGATAGTAATTTCACTGCTTAAGTCTGTGTGTGTGAGAATGTGTGTTTGTGGGTAAGTGTGTGTGATGTGACACACTTTATTATTAATCTTTATTAAAGTTTATGGCTGTTAAGTGTCATTTGTTTTTAAGTGCCAAGGTTATTATTCACCTTATTAGGGCTAAGGGCTAACGTAATGGTTAGGATAACTCAAGGGCTAGGGTTAAAGAGGTCATATAATGCCATTTTTGTACAAGTTAATATGAATCTTTAGGGTCTAAATGAAAACTTTGTAATATACTTTTATAAAAAATTCTCATTAGTATTTTAAGAAAACACTCATTTTACCAGCTCAAAAATAGCTCTGTTTTCAGCACGCCGTTTCAGTGCACAATCACATGCCTTTAAATGATAATGAGCTTTGGTCACCCCGCCCCTCTGCGTACACAGTTTTTAATAACACAATAACCATAACGCGTTGTTCATTATAAACGTGGGATTATGAATTATATTGAGAACATTGTAACGTTACATAGAATATATGTCGTGTTGGTAGTAAAAAATATTGTGGAGGTAGTAAAAAAGGTAGTAAAAGGTAGTAAATTCATCTCTATGATTCCTGCATAAACCCTGATGATGCACTGCATTAACATTATTTTTGACAGCCTTATCCATCATACATTTTATACATACAGGATCCAAGTTTAATGTGAATAATTGCATTCTTAGAGTGTGTGTATATTACATGTAAACTGTCTTTAATGATAATCGGTCCGACTTTATATTAAGTGGCTTTAAGTACTATGCACTTACATCAAAAAATAAGTACAATGCACTTTTTGTGTCCATGGTGTATTGTGTATCGCTGCTATTGAGATGTGATACTGGTAAGGTTAGGGACAGGTGTGTGTGGTATGGGTCGTTTTAAGGGTGGGTTAAGGTGTCAGGGAAGAGTCAACTGTGTAATTACTAATGTAATTACATAAATTAATTATAGCTGTAATTACATGCTGTTTTTTTAATATAAGTGTGTATGTGTGTGTGTGTGTGTGTGAGGTGTCAGGGAAGAGTCAACTGTGTAATTACTAATGTAATTACATAAATTAATGATAGCTGTAATTACATGCTGTTTTTTTAATATAAGTGTGTGTGTGTGTGTGTGTGTGTGTGAGGTGTCAGGGAAGAGTCAACTGTGTAATTACTAATGTAATTACATAAATTAATTATAGCTGTAATTACATGCTGTTTTTTTAATATAAGTGTGTATGTGTGTGTGTGTGTGTGTGAGGTGTCAGGGAAGAGTCAACTGTGTAATTACTAATGTAATTACTTAAATTAATTATAGCTGTAATTACATGCCGTTTTTTTAAAATAAGTGTGTGTGTGTGTGTGTGAGGTGTAAGGGTAGAGTCAACTGTGTAATTACATAAATTAATTATAGCTGTAATTGCATGCTGGTATTTTTAATATATAAGTGTGTGTGTGTGTGTGTGTGTGTGTGTGTGTCTGTGTCTACTTAACTATATTTTGGGGACAAATTTGTAGTGACTAAAACCTGACAAAATCTCCCTTTAGGGATTTCTTCATTTGTAAATCAAATCTAAAAAAGTCATTATTATTTTTTTAAATGCAAAAAATGCAGAAAGTTGTGTGTGATGGTTAGGTTTAGGAGTATAGTTAGTCCAAGTTGAGAGAATATACAGTTTGTACAGTATAAAAACCATTATGTCTATGGAAAGTCCCCATAAAACGTGAAAACAACTTCTGTGTGTGTGTGTGTGTGTGTGTTGCAGGAGTGAGCTGTCGGTTGAGAAAAGTTCAGTGCTACAGGCCGAGCTTCAGTCCTGCAATCAGCTGCTGGAGCTCGAGCCTCAGAACAAATGTAAGTGTGTGTGTGGGGGGCATCTGTTTTCATAAGGGTGTGTGTGTTTTATACATACATCCTTCACACAGCATTTGTATTTCCTGCATCATCGTGTAGAAAAGAAGCTGTTTTATGTCTGTGTGTGTTTCAGGGTGTCTGCTGACAATCATACTCCTCATGAGAGCTCTGGATCCTCTTGGCCATGAGAAAGAGACTCTGGCACATTTCCAGTCCCTCAAAGTGAGATCATACCACTGCATCCTCAACCATTACACATGCGCTGTCTACAGGACATGATGAACAACTAACAATACATCATTTAGGCAGTTATTTACATTAACAATGCCTTATAAAATCTCAGGACCTGCTTGGTTTATACTCCAGTAATGTGTCAATCATGTCAACCAAAACCCCTCACTGTAGGCAACCGTGATAGTGATGTTTGCCTCTGGAAGCCGTGTGATTGGTCGTTTTCTCGCTCTCACAGGAAGTGGACCCCATGCGCTCTTCCTACTACAGTGATTTGTGCAGCAAGTTTCTGATTGAAAACACCATCCTGAAAATGGAGTACGCAGAGGTGCGGGTGTTTAGCCTTTCCAATAAGGTAAGAGCGGCCGACCCGGGACTGACATTGTTATAGTTTCCAATTTTTCATTTAGTTTTTTATTCGCTTTATTTTCAAAGAGATTTTCCAATGAAGTTTTCTTATCTTATCAGTATATGAGGGATACATCTTCTTAATGCATATTTAATGTTAAAAAAATTATAAATTAAGTTCAAGCTAGACTTTTAACAGTTTAATTACCCTTCGCCGTTATTTGGGGGTAATTTTAAAGTCGGCATGAATTTTTTAAAATGTATTTTCTTAATGGAGGCCGCTGGCTTTATTGTGAACAATTTAAGAAAGCATTTTTTTTTTTTTTTATAAAATGACTTTAAAATCTTAAATGTCATAATGTGTGTGACATAATGCAAGACTGCCAATTGCAAATCAGTTGCTTTCAGATCCGCCTTCATTAATACATACGATATTATTTTTTAAATGTTATTTTTGAAAGCATTTATGAATATTTTAGTTTCACTTTTTAAAAATTATTCTTTATTTCAGTTTATTATTATTTTAAATAGTTTCAGTTTGAATATACTAAAATAATCTTGTCCTGTTTATTGTGTTCATTTAACTAAATATTAAAATATGTGAAGTTGAAGTTATTACATAAAAATATTTTTTGTAAACTTATGTATTCCCTTAAATTTCCAGGATGTTTAAAAAAAGAAGAAAAAGATTTCTTTACTGTGCTTGACGTAGTGAACGTGACTGAATTGTTTAAATGTTTCACTCGTGTGTAATTGAATGGCATGACGGAAACATGAGCAATATACAATGAAATAGTCTTACTCAACCATTTGCACGTGAGAGATAACTTTCTAAATCTTTGATAGGCCTTTCAGCCATTTAATAGAGTGCATTTTGAATATGATATCCTGTCAAACTATGTTTGTACTCAACTCATTGAGTCATCATTACCATTCGAGTCTTAAATACACGGAAATAAAAACTGTATTGGCATCATTTCAGGGTGCAAGATGCAATGCAATCACTCATACGGTGTGGATTTTTTTTGTGAATCTTTTAAAGACAAGAATAATTTCTGATTTAATATAATTTCTGAGGGCTTGCTGAGCAGATTAAATGGAATACATACCGAAAAATGTTGAATGGTAAAGAATGGAAAAGAAACTTCAACCAAACAGATGAAGAATTCATTGTAATAATATATGTTTTCTCTTCTACATTAAAGGCAGCAATTTAGTTAGTTAGTTTGTTAGTCATGAAAGTTTTACTCCTATTAAGAATAAAATTGGAGTAGAAATGTATTAGACTGGAGGTGTGAATTCAGCATTTTATTTAACAAATCCCCATACATTCTGGTATAAATAAAATAATGTACACATTTTTCATTATTATTTAATGTTTCCATAGCCATGTTTTTTTCTGTATGTTTTTATTTATTTTCTGTGAATGCTTGTATTGTATTTATTGTTGTTTCTATGCACAATTTCATTTCAGTGTGGCATAAATTCTCTTCAATACAAAGAATGACAAACTACAAAGAATTATTGTTTGGGTGCGCCTATCAAAGGTTCACTATGCAGTAACTATAGAAACACCCATGTGGCTGAATCACAGTGAGAACACACAGCTCCTCCTCGTTTCTGTCAGCGGAGTGACAACAGCAGTCACACCCGGTGTTCCAGAACATGTGCATTACAATAATCTACACCAGTATAACACCAAGCCATCATACATGCTTTACTTGTTTTCTTACTTTCAAACAGTGGCTCGCTGAGTTTCTCTGGCGTTGACCACATCCTTCTGCACAACATGCTCTGTTCTTTTTGGTCAATGTTACATTGCTTGAAAACAAAGATGAACTTGGAATATCTCGCAGTGATACATCTTGTTTTGTCGGTCTCTCTCCTACATCAGAAGCTGACGACCTTGTGTCACCTCGATCAGCTTCTCTTGGTGACCCACATCAACCTCTCCTCCAATCAGCTTGTGCGGCTGCCACCTCAGTTTGCCATGTTGCAGTGCCTAGAGGTGAACCCATACTGCTTTTCCTCATTTTCCCCACAAATAACGGGTAGGGACCATTTACATAGAATGCGTTTTTGCTGTAAAAAGAGATGTCCTTTATCTGCAAGCAATCACATCATTACAGTATGCCACAAGCTGATCCCGCAGCCAATGACATTGCTTGCTCAACATTTAAATAGTCTGGTTCATTGTTTGCTGTAGGCTAGTCCTTCAGTATCAGATAAACTCTGAACCCCTCCACCTCCCCAGCTCCACCTGGCTAGATCTGCTACAGGATTTATGTATATATATATTCATGTAGCAGCAGATCTTACATGCGGTGTGTGTCCGTGTGTCTATTAGCAGTAGCAAGTCCATACTGCAACAACAGCAGCGTAGCAGATCTAGTCCGCCAAGACCAATATATTCAATAACACGCTAAAACTATCCCGGGAGTTGTCATGACTGAACTTCTTTTTTAACTTTGGCGCTCTTTATTCAATACTGAAATATCTGAAACGCATCCAATACTCATTTTCCGCAGAATAGATACACAATACCAGCTGCTCTCTCTCTCTCTGACAGCGAGTGACACACAAACCCGCCTCCACTCACTCACTCGTTTCATTTGCTGCGGATGAATATTGTTGCTGTTACAAAGATAGATTTTGGCGTGGGATTGCACATATTGCGCATAATTTTACTCATTCCCGCAGATGTTGTCCTCACACCCGAACTGTGGCACATAAAGCCGCCTCTCAGCACTAAATTGAGTTCTTTTTCGCTGCTTATTGCACTTAAACAGTCAAATACAAACAAAATAATGTCAAAATGTCAGGTATTCATGTATGTTTTAAGTGAACATAAACAGTTGGGAAAGAAAACGCATGTGTAACAGTGTAATGGATCCATGCGTCAGGTTAAAGTGACAGCAGCCTAATAAACCTACTGCCAAATTATGAGATAATATTAAAAATATCTATATGGCTGTTTTTCCCCATGGTATCGATGTCAGAATTGTGGCCAGTGAAAATGCTGAGTGGCTCGTAACTTTGGAAAGACACTAGCCACAGTGGCTGGAGAGCGAAAAAGTTCATGTCAAGCCCTGCCGCTGTGTCGTGTGTGTGTTCCCGCAAAAGATGAGAGACTAGATGTTTGTCTAGCACGTGTTTGCATAGGTAGATAATGTGAAAGTAGCACAGTGGAATGGTAAAATGCATTCTGTGTGAACAACCCCCTAACCCCCTGTTTTTGTCGAGTGATCACACTGTAAAATGGCGAATTGCGCTTCACATGGAGTGGTTTAATGCTTCAGGTGCTGGAGGCCGATGATAACGCCATTGAAAGCCTGGAGGGACTGTATCATCTGCCTAAACTGGAGGAGGTTTCTCTGAAGAACAATCGTATCCTTTTCTTCTACAAATATGTGTCAAAACCCTTTTCTGGTGTCTGAGCCTTTTCTGGTGTTTGTTCATGTTAGTTCACAGTGCATTAACAAAAACAACATTTGATTTTAATAATGTATCAGTAAATGCTGAAATTAAAGGAGAACTCCGGCGCAAAATGAACCTTTGGTCTAATTACACATTGTTACCTAGTCAACCGTTATCTGAGATTTGTTTTCATGATTATCGAATGTAAATAGTTTTATCTCTAAAAACAGTTTAGCCTATAAAGCTAGTATAACGCTAGTATATTGGGCATAGATCAATGACAAATAAAAATCGCTTGTTAATACCACTAACAAGGCTCAAAATAGCCCCACACTACCACGGTAGCATAATGAGGGTCACTACCTTCAAACCGAAGCATTGAGAACTTTGTCAGTGTCCAGACAGTTTAATAAGAAGATATTTTAAACATACAGTCAACTTCGCGTATACAGGCAGAATCCATCTTTGAAATACAGCCTTTACCAGTCGATCTACGAACGCCGATCCAAGCCTGCTGTTCGCGCTCATCTTATCATTCTCACCAGCGCACTTGGATCGGCGTTCGTAGATCGACTGGTAAAGGCTGTATTTCAAAGATGGCTTCTGCCTGTATACGCGAAGTTGACTGTATGTTTAAAATATCTTCTTATTAAACTGTCTGGACACTGACAAAGTTCTCAATGCTTCGGTTTGAAGGTAGGGACCCTCATTATGCTACCGTGTTAGTGTGGGTCTATTTTCAGCCTTGTTAGTGGTATTAACAAGCGATTTTTATTTGTCATTACACTATGCCCAATATACTAGCGTTATACTAGCTTTATAGGCTAAACTGTTTTTAGAGATAAAACTATTTACATTCGATAATCATGAAAACAAATCTCAGATAACGGTTGACTAGGTAACAATGTGTAATTAGACCAAAGGTTCATTTTGCGCCGGAGTTCTCCTTTAATATTAACTAAGAGTAGTTAACTAATGAAACCTTATTGTAAAGTGTTACCGTTCTTTAAAGAAATTAATACTTTTTTTCAACAAGAATGTATTCAATTGATTAAAAGTGACAGTAAAGAAATTTATGAGACAAAATATTTTATTTTTCAAATAAATTCTGTTCTTTTGAACTTTCTATTAATCAAAGGATTCTGAAAAAAATCCACAAACATTTGAAAAACTGTTTTAAACATTGAAAGAAATGTTTCTTGAGCAGCATGTTTTTATAAAATTTCACATTCTAACTATTTTTACTGTATTTTGGTCAAATAAATGCAGTCTTACTGACCCCAAACTTTTGAATGGTAGTAAAAATTAAACATCCATATGTTACATATTAAACGGTATTAAAAAATATAGATTAAACAATATTATATGACTATATTTATATTTCTCTTTTACCAGTTAAGAATGTGTAATATACTGTATCAGTTAACTTGATTTCGATTGGTCAACTTTAGACACTCTTAACTTTGCAACTACATGCTAACTAACTCTCATTAGAGTATCAGTAGAGTATTAGACTGTTAGGTTCGGGTTTTTAGAATAAGTTGACATGTTCTTGCAAACTTACTTCTAGTCAGTAGAATGTCTAAACTGGACCATGGAAATAAAGTGTAACCTGCTGTATCTAATTATCTTATCTTGAGATTTTTAGTGTGTAATTTACATTTTGTGCATAATGCAATTTTTACACCGTGTTGTAACTGTAAAAAGTGTTTTCTTAATGCATTTCTCAGAAATCTGTAAACTGTCTGATGTTGAGTCATTGGTGTCCTGCACTAAACTGACCAGACTGGATCTGCGTGGAAACCCGGTCCACAAAACTGCCAACATCGAGTCTAAGCTCAGCCAGCTTTTGCCATTGGTTACTGCCCTGTCTCTTTGATGTGTGTGTGTGTGTGTGTGTGTGTGTGTGTGTGTGTGTGTGTGTGTGTGTGTGTGTGTGTGTGTGTGTGTGTGTCTCACTGACTTACTACATGTACTGCTTTAGATACTAATTAGAGCTCACTAACCATTTCTAAACCTGTACCTCGTGTGCTGAACCTGATCAGACTTACAGTGATGGTTCACCCAGAAATGAAGTCAGCCATTTGTTAGGCCATGTGTATTTGTATGTACGTATATTTTGATGAACGTTCATGCTGCTCTTTTCCATACAATGACAGTCCTAATTTAATTCAAATTAAATTACATTTAACTTTAGACACAGACATGAGAGAAATTTCAACAAAAAAAAGTTTGGTGAACTGTGCCTTTAAGAACAGTCAGCATCCTGTCTGTCTGTCTGTCTGTCTGTATGTTTGTGTTTGTGTGATAAATGACGGTTCTCATTTCAAATAAAGTTTGACCACTATGAACACCTGCATGCTGATAGAGAAAATCTGCTTTCACTTTTAACCCTTCAAGTTTTGAAGGTCCTGTTTATTGTTCTAGCGATGTATCGGTGAAGAGAAGCCATCTGTGGTGTGAATATTCACGCCAATAAAGAAACCCGTTTCTTCTTCCCCATGCTTGTGTCTAGTTGGGTCTAATTCTTTGATAACGTCACACTTTACATATTAGTCTGTGGGGTCTTATTAAAGACTATGTTGAGATGGAAGATGCAAATATGACTGCAAGCACCAAATTAAGGAACATGTTCCCCGATGTAATGTGCATTACATCGATGCGATGATTTGTTCAGTCATTAAGATATATAATATATATATATAATCTCTAGTGCCTTTGACTACTATTTACTTGCATTTAAAAAAAAGTTATAGAAGTAATTACAGCAATTTGGTATAGCAATTATGTTTGTTGAGCAGTAATTACAGGAGTATTGATGCTTTTGTAGTGGTTGATTCATAAAAGAGCACGTTTTTGCATGTATTAAGAATGGTTTGTATGGAATGTCGTGATAATGTATTTTAATGATCACTAAAGGATTCCTTGCTTTAAAATCCAGCTAAGACCAGCCTAACCAGCTAAAAAAAAGTGTTCAAAACCCCTCTAAAACCAGCCTGATAAACCAACTATGACCAGGCTGGGAGACCAGCCAAAACCAGGCTGGTTTTAGCTGGATCTTTCAGGGCTATGGAAATTCAAAACACTGAATGAGCTGAATCATGTATTTGAGTTACAGGATTTGTACCGTTCTAATGTTTGATGAACATCTTGACCAGGCTAACTTGTGTGTCATCTTCCATGCCCAGAATTACTCTTACGCTATTGCATGATTTTAAAACATCCCAGTCATCCTGTTAAACCAGTTCTCATGTAATCTTCCCACCGGTTCTTCGCCCTACCCTATATATAATAGTTAAATCTAGACACTTGCTGGAGTTCAATCCTAAATTAAACGCTCAGTCGATGAATTATATCGATAAGACACAATTACAACGGGTATTTTTAGAGTGGAGACGTGAACAAGGCATAAAGAAGACTGACACTTTTACAAACTGCAAAGGACTGCAAACAAGTAAGGAAAAACTTTATCATTCCATGAAAGGATCTCACCTGAGAAGGTGCCGACTGCTGTTTACTATATACTATTGTATTTTATTAGTGAATTACGGTTACTGTAGCATTTTGGTTGAAACTGTTTGGGAAATTAAACTGCAATAAAAAAAAATATGGAAACTATATATATTCTGGATGTCCAGATATGTCTCTCTCCAAATAACTGTTATGTAAGGGATTAGGGATAATGTACAGACAACTGCATGGCCATTATCAAAAAACAATCCCACACAGGGTCATCAGGACGACCCTGACCCTGAGCCAGAAGCAATTTATTTTGTGATAATTACCAGCCGACTGTCAAATGTTTGAAGTCGGTAAGATTTTTTTCCTTATGTTCACCAAGGCTGCATTTATTTTACCTAAAGTACAGTAAAAACAGTAACATTGTGAAATATTATTTCAATTTAAAATAGCTGTTTTCTATGAGAATATATTGTAAAAAGTAATTTATTCCTGATCAAAGCTGAATTTTCAGCATCATTATTCCAGTCTTCAGTGTCACATGATCCTTCAGAAATCATTCTGATATGATGATCAAGAAACATCTCTGATTAGTATCAATGTTGAAAACAGTTGTGATGCTTCAGATTTGTGTGGAAACCACAATAGCAATTTATTTAAGAATATTTCATGAATAGGTAGTTCAAAAGAACAACATTTATTTGAAATATAAATAGTTTGTACAATTATAAACATCTTTACTGTTACTTTCGATCAATTGAATAAAACAATCTGGGTTTGCAATAATAACTGCCTGTCTGTACATTATGCTGCCTATTACACTATACTTAGTCAATAAATAAATGGATGTGAAAAAAGTGATTAAGTCAACATTATTTCAGTAACTGTTGAATAAAAGAAAGAAAACTATGTTGGGGTAAAAACCCGCTCAGTTGAAGGGGATAAAGTTCCCCTTAAAAAAAAAAAACATTGTGGCCAAAAATGCCACACCATTTGCTGTGTTCATTCTCGGAACACAAATAAAGATCTTTTTAATGAAATCTGAGAGTTTTCTGTCCCTCCATAGACAGCTATGCAAAGTCCATGAAGATATTGTACAACTAATCCATATTAATTGAGCAATTTAGTCAAAATTTTCTGAAGAGACGCGATCGCTTTATATGATGAATAGATTGAATTGAACATTGATCAGCGAACATAAACAGAAGGTCAACCTATCTTGCTTGATGCATGAGAACAAACCTCTTGCTGAAGCTCAAACGTGCTGCGTAACATGAGAATGAACCTCATTGGTTCTTCCAGAAGCTCAAACGTGCTGCGTAACACGAGAATGAACCTCATTGGTTCTTGCTGAAGCTCAAACGTGCTGCGTAACACGAGAATTAACCTCATTGGTTCTTCCAGAAGCTCAAACGTGCTGCGTGACACGAGAATGAACCTCATTGGTTCTTGCAGAAGCTCAAACGTGCTGCGTGACACGAGAATGAACCTCATTGGTTCTTGCTGAAGCTCGAACGTGCTGCGTAACATGAGAATGAACCTCATTGGTTCTTCCAGAAGCTCAAACGTGCTGCGTAACACGAGAATAAACCTCATTGGTTCTTCCAGAAGCTCAAACGTGCTGCGTAACATGAGAATGAACCTCATTGGTTCTTCCAGAAGCTCAAACGTGCTGCGTAACACGAGAATGAACCTCATTGGTTCTTGCTGAAGCTCAAACGTGCTGCGTAACACGAGAATTAACCTCATTGGTTCTTCCAGAAGCTCAAACGTGCTGCGTAACACGAGAATGAACCTCATTGGTTCTTGCTGAAGCTCAAACGTGCTGCGTGACACGAGAATGAACCTCATTGGTTCTTGCTGAAGCTCGAACGTGCTGCGTAACATGAGAATGAACCTCATTGGTTCTTCCAGAAGCTCAAACGTGCTGCGTAACACGAGAATAAACCTCATTGGTTCTTCCAGAAGCTCAAACGTGCTGCGTAACATGAGAATGAACCTCATTGGTTCTTCCAGAAGCTCAAACGTGCTGCGTAACACGAGAATTAACCTCATTGGTTCTTCCAGAAGCTCAAACGTGCTGCGTAACACGAGAATAAACCTCATTGGTTCTTCCAGAAGCTCAAACGTGCTGCGTAACACGAGAATGAACCTCATTGGTTCTTGCTGAAGCTCAAACGTGCTGCGTAACATGAGAATGAACCTCATTGGTTCTTCCAGAAGCTCAAACGTGCTGCGTAACACGAGAATAAACCTCATTGGTTCTTCCAGAAGCTCAAACGTGCTGCGTAACACGAGAATGAACCTCATTGGTTCTTGCTGAAGCTCAAACGTGCTGCGTAACACGAGAATTAACCTCATTGGTTCTTCCAGAAGCTCAAACGTGCTGCGTAACACGAGAATGAACCTCATTGGTTCTTGCTGAAGCTCAAACGTGATGCGTAACACAAGAATGAACCTCATTGGTTCTTGCTGAAGCTCAAACGTGCTGCGTGACACGAGAATGAACCTCATTGGTTCTTGCAGAAGCTCAAACGTGCTGCGTAACACGAGAATTAACCTCATTGGTTCTTGCAGAAGCTCAAACGTGCTACGTAACACAAGAATGAACCTCATTGGTTCTTGCAGAAGCTCAAACGTCCTGCGTAACACGAGAATGAACCTCATTGGTTCTTGCAGAAGCTCAAACGTGCTGCGTAACACGAGAATGAACCTCATTGGTTCTTCCAGAAGCTCAAACGTCCTGCGTAACACGAGAATGAACCTCATTGGTTCTTGCAGAAGCTCAAACGTGCTGCGTAACACGAGAATGAACCTCATTGGTTCTTGCAGAAGCTCAAACGTGCTGCGTAACACGAAAATTTGAACCTCATTGGTTCTTCCAGAAGCTCAAACGTGCTGCGTAACATGAGAATGAACCTCATTGGTTCTTCCAGAAGCTCAAACGTGCTACGTAACACAAGAATGAACCTCATTGGTTCTTGCAGAAGCTCAAACGTGCTGCTTAACACGAGAATAAACCTCATTGGTTCTTCCAGAAGCTCAAACGTCCTGCGTAACACGAGAATGAAGCTCATTGGTTCTTGCAGAAGCTCAAACGTGCTGCGTAACACGAGAATGAACCTCATTGGTTCTTGCAGAAGCTCAAACGTGCTGCGTAACACGAAAATTTGAACCTCATTGGTTCTTCCAGAAGCTCAAACGTGCTGCGTAACATGAGAATGAACCTCATTGGTTCTTGCTGAAGCTCAAACGTGCTGCGTAACACGAAAATTTGAACCTCATTGGTTCTTCCAGAAGCTCAAACGTGCTGCGTAACACGAGAATGAACCTCATTGGTTCTTGTGGAAGCTCAAACGTGCTGTGTAACACGATAATTAACCTCATTGGTTCATCCAGAAGCTCAAACGTGCTGCGTAACACAAGAATGGACCTCATTGGTTCT